TCGCTTCTGCGTCCATGCAGACTGGACTTGTACTTTTATGTATTGGCGCAGGGGGCAAATCATGGCTCTCGCTATAATTTGTCACGGTAGCCGTGGGCATCGGCGGGGGTTTTTGAGATTTTAGTTCAAGAGCTACTGGATCGGCATGCGGTTGCACCTGCGCTAGTATGATAGTTACGTCTCGCGCGCTGAGCGTTTGACCGGAAAAAAAAAAAACTACATTTATTGGCATCTTGCTCTTTGGTGTGTATTTTTTCTTCTATTCTTGTGCTATGGAACTATTCCGCAAACGAACTGCAGATGTCCCAGAAGCAGCTGCTCTCTGAAGATATGACTCCACTTGTGAGATCACCCTTCTACACTCCAACAAGCAACTCCCGTTAGCCACTTAGCCTAAAGTAGCGTGTGATGATGGGGATCTCCGGGAGCATCGAGGCTGTCTCGCATAGACACGGCAGAGATAAAGTGTGACAGGGGCCAATCACGCGAACCTACCCCAGGCGACGCAATCCACAGGTACCCTATACCGCCAAATTTTGGCCCCGGGCCAGGGAACCAAAGGTAGAAAGTACCAGTGGATCGAGTCTCGACGAGCCAGAGCAGGAGACTGCAATCATCTGCGGAACTAACGGCACACCCAGGTCTCCGTAGGGCTCATTGGGTTACGGGCTGTATTTGGCCAGGCTTGCCAGAGCTCTTGCCCCTGGAGTGACTATCATGACGCCCTCTTCTGCATATCACCTATTCAGCACAGACGAAGTTGGTATCATCCTCTTCGGCATGTTCCGTCTGGTTAGTCTAGACAGGTCGTTTCTTCAGAGTGACCCAAGGGTCGAGGTTCGGCTCCAATTGTATGAGTGTATTGGTATTGACAACCCTCATGCGGCGCAGTCAAAATGGCGCAGTCAAGCATGGGCTTCCTAGCACTGGGGCTGCTAGAGACATGCAGATGGGAGGCCACGCAATCCACACGTGGTTGTTGGGAACATAATACGACACGGAGATTCGCCGAATCCCCGAGTGTTGCACCCATCGAGCCCCAGTGGGCGTCTATTCCTTTGGAGGATCGACGCCTGTCAGCAACGCTATTCGTAGGCCAACGAGGCAAACACGGCATGGCCTAGACAGTCGCATGCAGGCAGAGAACCATCGACCCATCTCCACCAATCCCGATAGCTGCCAGATGTTGGTGACAGACAGACAACCATGTCCTAATGGTCACATTCCGCAAGAGTCCGAATTTTCTGTCTGCAAACCTCCTCCTATGAACTACCTTGTTCGCAATGTGGCAGCCACTCGCGTGGCAAACAAAAACAGTCCTGGCGTCCCCAAGTTGAGGACGCCGCTGCGATGTCGAATAGCAGCCTCCCATTGGCGTGACTTTCCATGGCGCCTCCAGCCTGCTACCAGTCCCTCCTCTCTCTCTCTCTCTCTCTCCAATCTCACCCTGCCCTGAACGTGGCTACCTGAGGGGCTCAACAGATAGGCTTGCCATGTCCTTAGCCAAGCCAAGCCGCTATCCAGATTAGGGCCTGTCAGCCGAGTTGTTGGCGATATCGGGCAATCACCTATCAATGATCTGCGAACGACCAGAAGTCTCCTTCGATGCTCATTTCCACGGTTGGGATGGCGCGACGGGGGGATCACCAAGGTTTAGGCCGTGCACACCCAATCAGCCCCCCTGCAGAAGAGGCGCAGAGCCGGGGGCAATCGGGGATGATTGCCTCAGGCTAAAAGGCGGTCATGATGCAATCAACTCGTAGCCTACAAGAGGGTCCATTCCTAAAAGGACCTCCCCGAGTTGTTGAAGATAATAATAACTCTTCCCATGAGCCGCATGAAACAACGATCCTCTATCTTTAGATGCAACGCCGGAATAGGAACAACCAGGAGGCTCCCATGAAACGCAAGAACTGTCGGAGAGTGAGACCGCGGAGCAAGTCCCCTGTCCAAAAGGGCGCAGGTCAGCGGACTTGAGTGGCTTATCACCAGCCCTTCTCAACCTTCCAGAAGGTCTTGGAAGGAAGGCCATGAGTGGCTCCGAGTGGAGAACCCTTGCTGTCAATCGTTCAAGAACTGCAGTGCGGGAACGATTGGTTTGGGAGGCCTGAGCACTGGTTCGTGCGTCTCCCCGATGCCATTCCACTGGTCTGTGTCTGCAGGACTTCAGATGTCGTGTGGTAGTTCGTGGTATATGCCCCTGTCTAATACGCTTAAACTGGTTCGTAGATATCATATGTATGATTCTCTGGGGGCGACTTTTTAGGACATGTAGAGTTGTTACCTCCACGATCCTCCGGCCCAGATACAAAGCCGGTGCATATTGGACTATCCGAAGATAAGCTTTGGAATCACATCTCATCGCTTGGGCCCGTCAGCAACCACATGGTTATGCAGGTGCACTCTTTGGGGATCAGCCCATGACGGAGACTTTGTCACTAAGTTTGTAAACCACATGGTAGAGGCGCAGTGTCCCCCCGGGCTGAACGCATGTTCAACAAAGAGAGACGGCTTTGAGGACGGCGAGAAAAACGTGGACGGACGTTCCTGCGGATCGCCATGAAGCCTCAACCCAGCTCATCCCTCACCGCTGTCGATGCCATCAAAGAAAGAGCCGGTCCGACTAAACCATTTCCGGCGAGTCGTGGCAGAAAGCATCCAGTAAGCGCCAGGCGCGGGGTGTCTAGCCCTGCCGCAGTGAGACTCGACGGAATATTTTAGCGTGCAGTAATAACGACAATGCTGGCCATCATAATAATAACAGGGGGGCCTTGGACAGGGAAGAGAGGAAGTCGAGGTGCAGATCAGTTTCGGTGGCTGTTCCGCCACGTGACGATAACAGCCCCAATGTGATGAGATGCAAAAGGCGGCAGATGGAAGTGAATCTGGAATCCATCACATTCTCGTCCATGGATCGACGGTGACTCGGCAGCCGGCTCCGATCTGGGACCCTTTTTAGAAATGCAATTAACACGGTCTAGCGGGCAGCGGGATCGTGGCGAGATCGCTTCCAGTCAAATTGCGTTGGACTGATCGGATACATTAACCACTCGGAACAAACCAATAAGCGAGTAATTTCGGCTGTAGCCGACTCCACCTGTCAGCGTCTCCGTCGATCGGTGGATTTCCACTCTAGCCCTAACTCAATCCGTACTACGGTATAGCTGCGTGGCTAGGGGAGAACCCCCCTTGTCGCCCGATCTCGCGAGTCTAGCCTGCCTCCCATTAGTCCCAAGTCCATAGTTTGCCCATTCATAGCAGCGCGTTCGCTTTGCTCATGACGATCGCCTTTCTCGTGGCGTTAGACTGTTGCCCTCTCGGGTCTAACCCAGATGTCATCCATGGCTCTAACGACATACAAGACTGAGAACGAACGGCCTAGATTTCAGTTGAAAGCATATACCAAGGCTTATACTGCGATGGCGCGTTTATGTGAGGGTGGAAGGCAGATCCGCGATCGTAATGTCCTGGAACGAGTGGCTAGTAATTTATCTCCTTAGCGTAAAGAATGACAGTTAACGCGTTGATGTCTTGCAGGCTTAGCTCGGCAGTTGTCCGCCTTTTGGAAAGGCCCCTCTTTTGGCAGGGAGGAAGATAGGAACTGGAAAATTTCGACCTCTACCTCTATCGAGGATAAAAAGAGAGAATAAGAGGGAAAATTGCGACCAGCAGAATAGGGCAGGCAGAATGAGTCTCCTTCATTGGGAGACTCGTGTATTGACCAACGGACATATGCGGTTGGCATTATTGCTTTTTCCCCGCTGGCTCAGCTGCCTCCCCTCATACATTCCGCAGAGCTTACCAGTCGGGCCAAATTTCTGGTCGGGGAGCGCCAATCCGAATGGTCCATACCCCGGTACATCGCTCTTTTTCATTTGCATTCGTCTTGTTCCATCCCCGGATGCCGTGCCACAACGCGGGAAGAGGAGGTGGTCCGTGGTCGAGCGCATTGGGTAAACGGTCCAGAGCAAAGAATATCGCGCGGGATGTTTTACCGACCTATTCAGTTGAATCGCTTATACTATCTAGACGTCAAGACCTGCGGCATATCCCACCACCACCCCCCTTTTGCCTCCATATTTGGCACAAAGACATGGAGTGTGTAACAAGCGTTTGGGGCTTAGAGGTTCGGGGATAGGGGTTAGGAGGCCGATACATCTTCCGGGATGCAATCATAATGCGCCATGCACACCCTCCCCAAATAAAAATAAATTATTAAGGGAAGAAAAGATGAAAAAAAGAAAAAATCAGAAGCTCGAGCGAATAAAATAATGGCAGGGCTGTCATCGCGTCAATCGACCACACAGAAGTAGACTAGGACAAAGACGGGCCAGAAGACAAGGATTAGCCAAAATAAAATAATAGGAAAAAGAAAATAATAATAATATTACAGCACTAATCGTGACCAAGGGACATAGATCCGCGCCATCGTATTTTGTATCCTAATCTTCTGCGCCGCTTCTCGCTGCTAGAGTCAAGGGTGAACCCCGGCTCTAGAACGGGGTGTTTGCAACGGTTCGTCTGCCCACCCCATCGGGGGGCTCTTTGCGACTGTCCCCGGTCGATTCCTTATTTATTCTTCATCGCCTCCTGGAGGATCAATCGACCAGACTCTATCTCTCCATTCATCCTCTTTGCCCATTTACGCTCTTCGGTCGTCTTCGTTTGTCTCTTTATGGGAAAAGAGGACACCTGCATTGGCTGTCCCAAAGACAGCCCCAATTGAATCGTGTGCCTGTTTGTTTCACCTGCCCTGTGTGGCCAGTGTTTGAGAATCCGTCTTGCTTGCAGATGCAGAACAGCCCTTCCCGGCGTCATACAACAGACGGGCGTTCCCATCCTCTTCTTCTTCTCCTTCTTTACCCTTTCTAGAAGGAAATCAATCTCCCCATATTCTTTCTTTCTGCTCCCCGACACCTTTCTGGAATAGCCTGCGATTCGGGTTGTACCTGACCCGACCCGCTCTATTTCTTCCTGGTCGCAGAGTCAACCCCCCCAAAATGACTCTCAGAACCATTCCCATTCCTCCGTCGCCACCCCGATCTACAGACGGTGATCCGTCGCCGGGAGAGATCTATCAACGGTCTGGGCCATATCCGCCTGTCTACAACACGGTTGACCCGATCAAGATGCAAGGCGACGAGATCAACCCTGGCTTTGTGCCGCAGTCATCAACGGTAAGTCTCTCCTTTTGATATTTATTGTCTAGGGGCGGCTCTAAACAATCCACAGCTCTATGCCTCTCCCTCGCCATACTTCCAGCCCGCCTTGCAATATCCCCCGATGCCACTCCACGCTCAGGTAAGTGCCATCATTCTTATGAAAGGCGGCCAAGCTGACAGGACTTCTTAGATGGTCGTGCCAGGCCCTCATACCAACACGCCTCCTCCAACCTCAGATGAGGAACTTGTCCCTTGTCCTGTTGGAACGCCACCGCCAAAAAGCTCGCCGGCGCGCCGGCGCGCGCCAACACCCAAAGCCAAGCTCAGTCGATCGCCTAAAGCGCGGAGAGCTCGCGAGCGCAGAGAGGCAGATACGCCTGAGACCTCGGTCGATTCTTCTTCTTCCAAGGAACTGTACATCCCGCTGCCGTTGAGCGAGCTCACCAAGCACATGACAGATGTCCCTGTCAAGGACATCGAAGGCTTCGTGAACAGATCATTCGAGGAGCGGTGGGAAGAGGTCAAGCAGAAGGGGAGGATTACCCGGCCGATGAACTCATTCATGCTCTACAGGTCGGCATACACGGATCGCATCAAGCGATATCTGAACCAGACCAACAACCAGGCTGTTTCGCGTGCCTGTGGCTTAGGCTGGAAATTGGAGCCGAAATACATCCGCGAGAAATACGAGCGATATGCTTGCATAGAACGCGACGAGCACGCCAGAGCACATCCGGACTACAAGTTCTCGCCATCCAAGGACTGCAAGGCGCCTCCAGCTCGGAAACGACAGAGTGCAGACGAAGCGATCAACACCCCATCCTCAACCTGCGATCCTGCTACCCCCAGCGACTGGGATGATGTCGACTACCACAGCAATCCGGGTTCATCATTCCTCCTGCACAACCGGTTGCAAAGCTTCGACGTCAACCGCGTGCGCAACATCAGCCGCACCTCCACTCCCTTTGACGCAGAACCCGTTCCATTGCCCAGCTCCTGGAGCATGAGCTATCCCGGCCGCATGGAGACTCCCCACGGTCTGCCAACCGCCGTGCATCCCAGCGCTCTGCAAATGAACCTGCACTACAGCCGTCCTAGCCCTCCTCCTCAGGACGCGCAATACGGCTCATCCAGCAGCACCTTGGCCGCTCTACCCGGTGCCACACATCATGAGCTGCTCCAGCCTCAGCCCATGTACCCGGCCGCCACCCGTCTGACTGAGGAACGCCACATGGATCCGCAGCTACTCTCCTACGAGAGCGGCCCTCCTCCGGCTGAGAGCGGTGTGGCCTTTTCTGCGCCGCCTTCTTACCCTGTCTGGAACGATGACGCTGCTGCCAACAGCTACCTGACTACCTCGGCATCCTCGGTGCCCCCAAGCCCGGCTACGTACTACCCCACACACATCACCGCTGTCTATCACCACCACCAGGGTGTGCATATGATTGATGCTCGGGACCCGTCGTGGGATATGCACAATCACCATGAAGCCAGCAGCGCTGAGTTTGAGCCTTGGTTCGAACAGCAGTCAGGTTATTAAGTGTGATAGCTTTCAACGATGTTCACGATACCAATGTTAGCGAGGTCCCATATCTGCTGGCTGACTGGGCTCCTTGAGTAGTGGGAACTCGGTCATGCTGAAGGGGTTTCTTAATATGAAACACCCAAAAAGCATGAAACAATACTGAATGGAGTCAGGCGTACGAGAGAAACCGCTTTCTTTCCTCTTCCTTTCTTCCTTGTCTATTTTTCTATCTCTTTGGGTCTGTCTTCTGATTTGGTTATCCTCATGTGTTTCTTCATTCCCCTGTGTCTGTATTTCTTTGGATTATCTCACTGGTGCTCGGTGCTGGACGGGATTCTGATTTCTGTTACCCTGGTTAGACTAAAGACGGCGGGCGGTCTTCTGCTCTTAATTTTACTTGTCATGAATGGACTACTCTTCTACGTACTTTCTGTGTTTGTAGTTGGCTTTGAATACGGTAAGGCACGTTCCCGAGACTTGAAGCGGTTTTTCTGTTCGGCTTCCTACACTAGGCCAGTGATGGCTCGAGGCAATGTGCTTGTTTCACGGTTGCGCTATGAACTTGAATTCTCCCACCGATCTAGACTATTATGTATGAATTATTATAGATGCGCGGATGTTAGTAAATGAATACAAAAGCTGAAACCAAGGCATTTGGAATCCGCAAAATGATTGCGTTTATCACATATAACAAGTAACTAAGTCGAATATGGCTCCGCTGGGGCATATTTTCTAAACATCCACTGTCGACTTGAAAGGACTATAATTTATTTGCGCAAATATCACGCATAGTCGCGTCTTTTCTAAGTTACTTTATACTCTCATCTCTGACCTAGCCCTAAGTCTGGCATAATCATCTCACCGCCCGTGCCTTCATACACCGCCCACGACACTTGTAGCTCTCCGTCTTCAACTTCGACTATCCACACCAACACCCTTCGAAGTGAGCAATTATTCCATAAGACGTCCTGCCGGGTCTTTTTTTCGTCCTCTTATCTCACGCTCATATACACCCAGCGAGTCCCCAGCGATCTGCCCCACCGCTCTCCTCTCGCCGCCCCTCAATCTGCCCCTCCTCAGAAACGACAAGACAAGCAGCTCGCCAATCCATTCCACTACATAATATTCCAACAAAATGTCGATCCCGAACGAAGCTCTCCAAAAAGTGAGTAGGAATACCTGGCCCCATTTGCCCGGAGTCCAAGTACCCAGACCTTGCGCAAGCCATGTGGTCACTACACTCTATAAATTACTCTCATATGCTAATGCATGCCGTTTCCTCCCACCCTCCAGCTCCTCCAAGAGATCGAGGCCCGCGCTATAGCCTCGCAGCAACAAATCAGTCTCACCAAGTCCCAAATGACAGCCAAGCAGCGCGACGTGCGCATGCTCCAGCTGACATCGAAAGAGTTGTCCGAGTTACCGGCGAATACGGGTGTCTATGAGGGTGTGGGCAAGATGTGAGCATCCCTCTTTCTTCTTCTCTCTTTATATCTTTCTTCTTTTTGCCCCCAGTGGCACTGAATGAGCTACAGCTTTTGTAGAAAGTTGTGTCGACCTTCAGCTATGAATACAGACTAACGGTAGAGAAAAACAGGTTTGTCAACGTCCCCATCGATGCAGTGAACAAGCGTCTTGCACGCGAGAGCTCCGAGGCTACGGCGGAAATCTCCAATCTCGAGAAGAAGCTTCACTACCATGAGACGACGCATAAGAACAGTCGGGAGAACTTGGAGCAGATTCTCAAGTCTGGAGGGAGGGCTTGAAGGGATTAGCGTGTGAAGGAATATTGTTATGCAGTGGAGTAGGGTTCCGGAGAGACAGATGTCAGTCACTACGTCCTGGCAGCGCAATGGCAGAGCAATGGCTTGCTTTGGCTGGTGGAGATGTGGGGTCTGGAGATCGTCGACAGTGGTTTGAAAGTGATCCAGTGCTAGGGCCGTACCGGACCCAGCATTCTGAAGCGAAGGGGATGGCTTCATGGAGGAAGAAGCAGGATGGTGCACTCGCATCGAACGAAACTGTTCGGTCTAGTCCTATACTACGGGCTAAGTATTGACTACATGGATACCCGGCTGGAGTTTGTGCGGATTTGGAAAGAAAAGACGAGCAGCCGATACACGCAGCTCTAACGTGATTGAGACAAATATGGACAAAGCTGCCGGCCTCATAACTATCTTTCCAAAATAGCCCACAGTGGTACAAATGAACAATACGATTGTTAGAGCGTCGTTCGACATGTAGATAATTATTTCACCACGAGGTCGCATCGACAGTCGGCATGCCCAAAGCGGCGGTGGGGCCATGAGCTTATCTCTGCCACAGCGCCTGAATCGGCACCTGTGGAATGCAGCGTGGAGAATCGAGATTCTCGAAAGAATGCGGACGACATGTGTAACGTACCTTGCACTGCGACGCCAGTCAGACCCTGCCCTAACCGGGGAGTTTCCAGGAACGGCGCCGCGTAGAATCAATGATTAATATAAGACTTCCCGTTAGTAACTACATGTGGTCACCTACAAAAGCAAGATGCAATCATGATCCACACCACCAACCACACAATCCGGCCCTGGCGAATAGCCGTAGGCGCCATTGGCGTCATCCTCGCGCTATGGCTCTTAGGTCCACGCCTACGCCTGGCGCCCGTGCGAGCGGTAAGTGGCCTCGATATTAAAAATGACGTGTAGCGCGTGGCACCAAGCTAACAGGCAATATCCCCATCTCTCTCCACAGTCCGTGGAACATTACCTCACCAGTAATGCCGGCAACAGAGCGGGAGGAGAATGGAAGACGCTGTCTCTGGCTGGGTTTCAGAATAACGGCGAATTGGACGAGTCCTGCGACAGTCGGAAACGGAATGGGGATATCGGTGTGCAGAAGAGTTTCTATCCACGGGAAAATCTCACGCTGGCTGTCCAGGAACTGGGGCGGTACCCACAGATCGAACGGGATTTCCGTAATCAGAGCCTGCCGTTTCTTGACTTCGTCGATGCCTCCTGGGCCGAGCTGGCTGGGTCGGGCGTCTGGCTGCCCGAGCAGCATGTATACCTGACCGTCAGTCGGGTGGTCTACTATCCATCGGGAAATCTGGCGGTGCCGACAATCAGTTTCCTGCGCGGACGGGTCTTCGACAGGCACTGGAAGCACCTGCCGAACTATACAATTGAATGGAACGGCGAGCGGGTTACCTTTCCGCGGTTTTTCGACGTGCCCGTGGACTGGAAGGAGAACATGACGTTTCTCGGTCCTGAAGACCCGCGCGTCGTCCTGCAGGAGGATATGCCCGGCGCGGAGCCGGTTATTGTCTTCAACATGGCCACGGAGCAACACCCCGAAGAAAACTGGAGACAGGCCATGTGGATTCACCGTCCCTTTTCAAACTTCAGCGCTGCACTCACGATCCGCAACGAGGAGCCGCAGCTGGTCGAGAAGAATTGGGCGCCTTTCTTCCTTGATAATGAATCCCAACTCCAGACCCCGAGTCACGACTTGCACTTCGTGTATACGCTGCAGCCGCTTCGGATCCTGCGCTGCCAACTGTACCACGGGTTCTGCGACTGGGCATTCCAGTCCGAGTCCCCAGAAACGCCGCGGCAGCGGATCGAAGACGACCCGGACAGCCAGGGGCGTATGCGAGGGGGCACGAACTTCGAGCCGGTGCCGATTCCATCCGCAGAAAACAAAAACGTGCATCTATACGCCGGGTTCCCGCGCACGCATTTCCTCGGCGGCTGCAGTCCCAACGTCACCTACCGTCCGGAGCTAGTGGTGCTTGCCAGCGTGGGAGAGGCCTTCCACGTCGTCTATGCCAGCGACGCGATTGACTTCGGGACCGCCGTGCTCGACGGGCAACACTCGCCTTGCGCAGATGAGGCGCGCATCTTGATCCCCAACGGGATCATCCACTGGGATCGGCGGGCGCGGCATGATCTGATGCAGTTGGTGGTTAGCGTCGCCGATAGGACGATCGAGGTGGTCCGCATCCGCGGGGTACTGGGGCTTATTGTTCGGTCGCTGCCGGATTTACTTCAGGGAGGGTCCTGGGCGGCTGGTGGGCGGCAAGTGGTGGAGTGTGCGGCGCAGGCGGCGGTTAGGGAGACTGGAGTTCCCTAGGTATCCATGGCTCGGCCTGGCAGAACCGTGGTACTCGACATGGAGTCAACATATCAAATCGAGTCGTATAGTATCAAATCGTAGAAGTGACACTGCTACTCCGGACTTCCTGTGCTAGTAAATAACCTGCTGTCACCAAGTGGACTGGGTGGAGTAGCGGTGGCTGGGAATGACGAGATGAGCATGACCGGAGGTTCAGCTGACATTAAATACGCGACTGTCTCTGTCTACTTCTATCTTTTTCTCTTCTTACCCAGTTCACAGGGAATAGCACTAGTATAGTTACTCGGTAACTAGAGTGATTAGTCCCTGCAGTATCCCCAGTGCTATTCCTGAGTGTTCTTACTGCCAGTGCCCCGATAAGCGCTCGTATACGCACCCCTCCGTTTCAGCTGCCCCTCTTTTCTCTCTTTTTGCCTTGGTCACGCACTTTCTTCTCTGCTTCCCATCCCATTATTCCATCCATCCATCCATCCCCTTATACATATTAAACCACTTTCACCGCTACCATGCCTCAACGGGTGCGAATCATCGACGACGACGACAGCGATGACTTCTCCGAAACCGACATCTCCATGCGCGGCGGCCGAGGCCTCCGAGCCTCCGTCCGACGGCGCTCGACCTCACGGCGCCGCGACTCGGAGGCCCTCCTAGTCCCGCCCATGTCGACCCGCGTGCACCGCTCGGCGTCGACCGGCGGCCGACGCTCTCGGGACCAGCCGACCGTGATGGTATTCAACGAGATGCTCCAAGACAACCAGCAGAGCAACAAGCCGCGGCGGGTGCAGCAGCGGATCAACGACGAGGAGATCTTCGAGGAGTTTGGCCGGTCGCGACGGGGCCGGGATGTGTCCCCGCGGCCGCGGGACTATGATCTCGTCGTCGGCCAGCGCATGCTCGACCGCAATGATATGCGCCAGGACTGGGAGATCTGGAATCAGCAGAAGGAGATTGAGAGGTTGGAGCGCGAGCTGGAAGGTCTTCAACACGCTCCGCGCGAAACACGACTGCTTCGCGATGAAGAGGAGTATGAGGATGAGATCAGTGAGCGGCTGCGTCGACTGCAGCGGCTGGAGCGGAAGAATGGCTCGGAACGTCAGCGACGGGATATGGAGCGGGAATGGAAGATTAAAAGGCTCGAGGAGCAGGAGCGTGAGGCGGCGCAGGAGAGCGAGATCAAGGCGAAGATCAAGGAGGCAAAGCTGAAAGAGATTGCGAAGATGAAGGAGGAGGAAGAGGAGAGGGAGAGGGTGAAGAAGGAGCTCAAGGACGAAGAGGCTCGTAAGGCGCTTGAGGAGGCTGAGAAGAAGAAGGAGGAACTTCTGATGAAGAAGGCTGCTGTTGAGGAGTGGAAGCTGGAGCAGGAGCGGAAGAGGCTCAAGGAGAAAGAAGAGGCTGACAAGCGAGACAAGGAGTTTCGGGAGAAACTCCAGGAGCTTGGCTATACTGAAGAGCAGATTGAGGATATGCTGAACAAGAACAAGAAGCCCGAAGAGAAAGAGGAGAAATGGATCAGGGTATGGCCCATCCCCTATTCTATTGACTTGCAGTGACTGACACGGCTTCCAGGTCCATCGCAAACATCTGATGCCGGAGACATTGATGGCCTACCAGCTCCCCTGGGAATGGGATGTGGTAGGGTTACTCGCAACGAATTTCTTCTTGATCGTTGGCTGACTCGTTCAATAGCGCGATCAAAACTACATCGTCATCAAGAAGTGGGTCGATGAGGACTTCCAGGACAAGCTCTTCTCCCACACCAAGCGGATCCGCGAGGGTAAAGTGCTCACGCAGACCTCCAGCTCCACGACCGAGCTCCGCGTCAACGACCGCAACAAGGACAAGATGTACCTCGTGCGGAAGAAGAGCCCGAGCCGCAAGTCGTGGCTCTTGACCTAAAGGTGGTTTGATTTTCTTGCGTTCTACTATGAGACCCGGACTTGATGTTTTGAATTTGGTTCTTTTTTTATTATATCTGAGTTGAGACGATGGGTTGATGATGGTGGTGGACCAGCAACGCTTGACATGAGATGATGACCTTTCTTCGTTTGTTTGCCTTCTGTTGTGCTCCTTGCATCAAACACTGGTTCTTTCTATATACTCGGCCATCTTTCCCTTGTTTAATACGGCTTTTGGTAAAGCCGCAGCGAACGCCACAAATAAAATGGTGGCAATGATTACGATGAGTCGACGATCAACGAGAAACGGTTGCGTTCCGATATAGAGCTTTGGGCATGACCGCAAATGAATCCGGTCATAAACTCATCTGCTGATCTGCCCCCCATCGCTTCTCAGCACGGAGAATTAGTTCCTCATAGACAGTCCAAGCAAGCGCCGAGCTGAGCGCCTTGCGTGCCATGCGAATCCCCAGTCCGCCAAAGAGGCTTCGCGCTCCATCCTCCTTAATCATCAACTTCACTGCACGCATCATATTCCCATACTTGGAAGGCATGAGCTGCAGCCGAGTCTTAACCGCATCAAACGGATTCGTAATTGCCGTCGCCAGGCCCGCAGCGGAAGCACCGGACACAAAGTGAATCGAGGACGAAGACATGCTGGCCGGAGGCGTCCCGTCGCTGGAAGGAGACCGCGTGGGAGCAATCGAAGCAAACTGCCGCTTCAGCTGCTCGTAGAACAGCACATACAACCCGGCATACGGTGCATCGCGAGCAGCCGTAGCGCCGAATCCTGCGAATAGACCGCGCATCCCCTCCGTGCGCACGATATCCCGACCCGCACTCCATAAACTCCGGTAGGCGTAATAGTCAGACTCGTATCGCACCTTCAGAACGGTGACAGGCATCATGACAAATCCCGCCGCGACGCGCGCAACGGCCCCCGTCGCCAAGTTCGCCGTATTGGACAGTTTCGGGAGCACCGAGGAAGAAGATGTCTGTTTGGCAGCGCTACCGCCTGGTGGTGGGCTAGCAAGGGCGAGGGGCACATTGGTTTGGGCGAGTGTTTGGCGCAGGGAATTCAGGCTGGTGAAGTAGAGAGCGGACCCGAAGCCCGTGCGAAGTGCTGAGGGCAGCGTGCCGCGCCATAGTCCGCGCACTGGATTCGGGGAGGAGAGGATGGCTTTGAGGGCGGGGAGAAGGGCGGAGGTTTTGTGGGACTGCTGGACGCGGGTTTTGAGGAGGTCGGCGGGTTGGAGGAGGATGGAGGAGGTGAGGCCTGAGCAGAGGCCTGCGGCGAAGTGGAAGGTAGTTTTGGATGCTATATGCCCAGCAATCAATCTTAACACAAAGTCCAACAACGCGCAAGGGAGGGTGTTTCAGAGGCCGTACGTGTTGAGGCGCCTGGCTTCACCGGCTGCACGACATAGGTGCCGTTATTGGACATCGCGCCTGGTCTGCGACGACCCTGGCGAGGGAGAGAGACAGGGGATTAGAGGATTAGAGTGAGTCGAGGCTGCATCGGGTGGCATCGGGGTCGGCGTGGAATTTTCAGCTGTGAGAAAGAACCCCGTGAACAAGGTGGAAGGCAAGAGGCCCCCGGTGGTTGTAATGGGGGAGGGAGAGGGATCAGAGATGCATGGCGGTCGGTCCGGTGGGCTCGCTGGAAGGGTCAACAACCGTCAAGTGCAAGTGTCGATGGTGAAGTCATCGGATCGGCGTTTTGGCTCTCCGACTAGCACAAAGATAGTCACCTCGGCACGAACCCAATGCAGAGGGTCAACAATAACAATCAACATACCAAAATACCACGATCCTTTATTATTAGAATGCGATAATAAGAAATCCCTCCAATCCTCCGCATAACTGAGCCTGTTTGCATAACTAGCCGCATTCAGCCCGGATGCCGCGGACAGCCGCGCGGCCAATGAACGTGTGGGTTGGTAATCGACGTCACCGTCTCTTCTAAGGCTTGTTTGCTGTTGCCTCACCTCTTCTTCCTCCAGCAGTCTGCGATCCCAACCAAAATATGCCCTTCCCCTTCATCCCATACCCGTCAGCCAAGGCGGGCTACTGGAGCCCCGTCACCTCGACGCTGAATTGGTGCGAGGAGGTACGTAACCTTGTGTTCGCGCAGGCTGGGAGCTGACATCCATCCAGGACTACTATGCCACCGTCTACGCCGCCGAGATCGTCAATACCCTGACGAACCTGCTGTTCATGTGGCTGGGCATCAAGGGCATCATCAGCTGCCGCCGCAATCAGCATGACCAGATCTTCCTGGTCGCCTACTGCGGGTATCTGCTCGTCGGCACGGGAAGCTTCCTGTTCCACTCGACGCTGAAATGTATGTGCTCAACTGCTGAAGATGTCAGATCCATAGCTAATCGATGCCCAAAAACAGACCCTATGCAACTAGTCGATGAGCTCTCCATGATCTACACAACCTGCCTAATGGCCTACGCCTCATTCTCCTACTCGCGCCCCACGGGCGTACGCGTCTTCCTCGCCATCTCCCTCCTCAGTCTGGCCGTCTTCATCACCCTGTACTACCATTACCTCCAGGACCCAGTCTTCCACCAGAACGCCTACGCGCTGCTGACCACGGTCGTCGTCCTGCGGAGCGTGTATATCATGGAGAAAACACTGCGGCCTAAATGGCGCAAGACGCGCGAGGAGGACCGTCTCGCCCGCGAGAAGAAGGGCCTCCCTGTCCCGACTAAGGAGCGCCAGCACTATGAGAACGTGCGCGATATGAAGACCATCAAGACGATGTGGTTTATGGTTGGCTACGGCCTGAGCATGTTCCTGGGTGGCTTCTTGATCTGGAATTTGGATAATCAGTTCTGCTCGCAGATCCGCCGGTGGCGTCGGACCGTCGGGTTGCCGTGGGGGATCTTTTTGGAGGGGCATGGTTGGTGGTATGTTGTGTTCCATTGTCACTCAAAAGTGGTTCAGAAACTAATTACTTCTCCAAGGCATATCATGACCGGCATCGGCGCATACCTCTACATCATCTGGGGCATCTGGCTCCGCCATTGCCTGAACCAGCGCCAGGATGAATACCATCTGCGCTGGGCGCGGGCTTGGCACATCCCTGAGATCGTTCGCACCTCGCCCCCGGTAAGCGAGAACGGGGTGACCAGAGACAAAAAGTCGACCTAAGCTTGTTTTCGTACTGTCGCCTCGCAACTGGATACCTGAATTGCTGTTTTCCTAGTGCAATTATAACCAACCACGAAAATAGACACCGAAATTTCCCTTCCTTGTCTTTCGCGCTTTGTGTCTTACGTGGTCAGACAGTTTGCGATCCGTTCTGTTCGGCGTTGCTGATGGGAGATAGCCTGGGCTGAAAATCATAGATATGAGCAAAGGAGCAGAGATTTTTGCTATAGATGGGAATGCGTGATTGATTGACGATGGCTGACCAAGTTTACTCTCGCTGATCCTCTATCTGGACTTACCCTCTTCAACAGGAATACAGATAGCCAGTAGAAAACAATGAAATTCTTCATGACAGTATCCTAGTTCACCAGGATCCCAGACCCGTGGGCTGAGCTCATTCATATATGATTGTTGTTGCCTGTATATACAAAAAGCGTCTATCTATCCTCTTGCGCAGTTAAGTATTCGCACGCACACCCTCACAGCTTCGACGTTCCGCCCAGCTCAGCCTTCTTTTTATTAGGCCTCCGCGGCGGCGCAGGGACATTCTTCAACCACTCCGCATCAATGGTCATCTTCTCAACACGCGACTTCTTCCCCCACTCCGCGCGGAAACTCTCCTCCTCATCCCTCCAGCGCCTTAGCTCAGGCGCAAGCCACGAAGCCGCCGCATCGGCACACTCATTCACAGCCTCCTGCGCGAGCAAATGTCCAAAGTCCTCCAGAAACACCTCGCGCACGCGGCCCGCAGCTACGCCGCCGCTCCCGCCGACGCCGGTGCCCGTGTTGGACAGCTTGTCGGCACGCATCGCGGGCAGACACATGTCTGACTTGCCGGCGAAGATGTAGAGCACGCTGGGGCGCAGGTGCGGGAGCTGGGCGAAGATCCGCCATGGCTCGGGTCGGTAGAACGGGAATGAGCCTAGATGCGTGGGGTCCAGGTCTGGGTGTGTGACTCGGTTGATGGGCTTGTTGTCACTCGGGTCATTGTGATAGTTTGGTCGTGAGAAGGTGAAGACTTCCTGGTGGAGAGGTGTGCGCAGCGTCACGGGCGTCGAGCCCTTATCGGTCACAGTCTTGTCGTTGAGCGGGTGGATGGCCGTTGGCAGATCGCGGAGCCCGTGCTCGACCCAGCGAGCCAGCACGCGCGGGTCCCAGGCCTGGTAGAATGGGCTGCGCTTGAATCCGTCTGCGGCGGCCTGGCGCGACGGCCATATGTCGCGCCGGTAGGTGGACAGCTGGGTGGTTTTGGCGATGACACGCTTGTTCTCGTTGTGCAGACTGAGTCCGTCGAGCTGGGTTGTCTGGCGCTGGATTACCGGGTCCAGAAGGACCAGTGTGTGGATCAGGCGCGGGTGCATTAAGCATAATTGTGCACTGGAGGGAAACAGTTAGTCGCAATTCATGATTACCGAGACAAAGAAGGAAGAATCTGACAGATGTGCGCCGCCCATGCTATGCCCAATGCCGACGATGGGCCGGGGCATTTCCGCACGCTTGACGTTGACCAAGTGCAGGAGATCTCGCGGATGGTCGAACCAGCTGGCTGGAGCGGGGATGGATGTCAGTACGCGACCACTAAATAGAACTCAGGACATACGGTCATTGCCCAGCACATCTTCATTAAGCACACTGCTCTGGCCCTCCTGCGCAACATCGGTCATCCAGATACTACGGATGCGAAAGCCGCTGGCCTTGGACCGAGCGTGGATTTCCTCCCACAGGGGCTCGTAGAGTTCCTAGAAACAGGATGTTAGAAAATATTATAAATTGTGTACTTCACCTAGATAATTACCTTGGGGAATCCATTCGCATGCGCCGCGAGAATCGTTACGTCGCCGGGTTGCGGATTGGGGTTGTCGAGCGGGATGTACTGCTTCACGGCCAGGTGTAGCGTGTCGTCCACGCCCGCGGTAGCGGCAGGATACTCGCGGATGTGTTGGCAGGGCACCACATGCTCGACGATGCGGAAGGGTGATGCCATGATATTGATGATATGTGAAGATGTTGGGGATTCGATGCGATCATGAATAATTATATGGGGCCCCGGGAAATAAGGCAGAGCCAATAATTCCGGTGCCGAGCCGAGGATGTCGCATCATGACGGTGGGCCAACTGCCGACTGGTCATGCCTTGCTGCTCTCTGCTCCTATACACCATGAACCGCTTTCTTTTTCTTTTTTTCTTTGCTAATCATTATTTTGTCTGCTTAATCAGTGTACTCACTGTCCTAGTCGTATAGTTATTCATTACCGGTAGGATGAACTGTCGTACAGTGTAGGTACGCGCACACCCACTCGGGATATTCCCATTCTGAACTAATTCCTATATCTAATCACCTATCTAAATGTAGGTAATTAACGATTTAGTAATTATTATTCCATCTATTAACTCGCCATCTTCACCGATCTCTGTATGAGCCTTTGGTGTATATTGACTGTCACGTGATCAGGCGTTGGCTTCGCGCGTTTTGCGCGCGTCCATCTGTTTCTCTCCCGTTAGTCTCGAGCCACTCAAACCCTTGCTCTCCCAGCCATGGCGCACGACGAGGAGCTCCAGCTCTTCGACCAGTGCAATATCTGTATCGTCTGCTCAAAGGATCTGTCTTCAGAGACAGCACAGCAGGTGCGCACCTTGTTCTTCCCCGCTGACTCGAGCCTGCCTAGTTGACAGCCCACCTTCAGCTCGCGACAACCGTCAGCCAGAACAGCGGCGAGATCTCCATCGTCGAAGAGCACGTGGAATTTGAGAATATCGCCCAATTCACCCACATCATTTCCAACACCATCGACTTCAAAGACTACCAGACTGCTTGCGACGCGCTGATTCCCGTCGTGAAACCGCAGTGGGTGCAGACGTCGCTCGCGAAGAATAAGCTGGCCAACCCGCGCCAGTACAGTCCTGATCCTCGCCTCTTTTTGAACGATGTGGTGGTCGCCTGCGGTGATATCCCAGAGGGAGACAAAGATGCTATTATCGGCGGAGTGTTGGCTAAAGGCGGGATTTACAGCCCTCGAGTCACTCTGATGGTCACGCATCTCGTGGATCTAAGTGTTGATTCTGATAAGGCGCGTCTTGTGAAAGCAAAGAAGTTGAATATTAAGATTGTGCTGCCACACTGGTCGGTCCTGATACGAATGTCAAGGAAAATACACTCCTAATTGAATTGTTATTAGGTTTGATGACTGCTTGAAACTCGGTCGACGCATTATCGAGACGCCTTACCTGCTTCCCGACCCGGAAATTCTGCGCGCTGGCCCCAATGTGCCCATTCAGTGGCACGAGAACAAAGATCTGGTCGGTGCATCTACACCAGATCCGCCCGGGCTGCCCACCTCATCAGCCCGTGAGAACCAGCGCAGCGTTTTCGACGGGAAGCGTGTCATGCTGTCCTCAGATCTCGGTATTGGTCACCGTCTGCAAGAAAGCATTGAAGCGATCATCGAACACGGAGGCGGTACAATCACGTCGGACGTCTATGATACGGATATTCTGATTTGCCGTTTTCGTGAAGGTGTGTCGTATCGGACAGCATCCAGACTGCATAAAGACGTTGGCAACCTCGCCTGGCTTTATCGTCTTATGACCTTCAATATGTATACATCGCCATTGCGCCGGCTTCTTCACTACCCCGTTGATCGCTCTGGAATCCCTGGTTTCAAGGGACTGAAGATTAGTCTTTCGAACTACGTCGGTGAGGCGAGGATTTACTTGGAAAATCTGATCGCAGCGGCCGGTGCTGAGTGCACCAAAACACTCAAACAAGATAATACACACCTTATCACAGCTCATGGAAACAGCGAGAAATGCAGTGCAGCTCGGGAATGGGGCTTGGAGGTGGTCAACCACCTATGGCTTGAAGAGAGTTACGCGAAGTGGAAGATGCTACCAACCTCTGATCCGCGATATAGCCATTTCCCACTGCGAACAAATCTCGGAGAAGTGGCTGGCCAGACGCCTCTAAACCGTGATGTCCTCGAGCAGGTGTTTTTCCCATCCGAAGACACCGTTCTTCCAAGTCCCGGCCGCCCTGTGATGCAGAATAAGGACCAGAATACAACCTCAATACAGCCTCCCCCGAAAGGACACATTGCGGACGAAGGCATTGCAGACACGACGCACGGCACTCCACAGACAAATGGAAAGTCTCGCCGGCTTTCAGATACCAGAAAGACGCCTGCGCGATCCCGGCTCGTCCCCGAGGGTAAGGAGAACGATACCCCGTCATCGACCAGTAGCCGCAGGTCCAAGGATGCAGCTACAGCCCGACTCCACGAAATCGCTCCAGACATCGCGCTGTACGAGAAAGAGAAGAAGCGCGTGGGAGGGGTCGTGTACGGGGGCCGACGCAAGTCGGACGAGGACCGTGTGTCTGAAAATAAGAAACGGCGATCTGCGGAAGCTCCGGACGAAAGCGACGGAGAGCAGACAGATTCCAAGCGCCAGAAGAAGTCCCGGCCGCCAATTGCGATGCATCTCTTGATTACCGGCTATCAGAAGTGGGTGGGGAATATGAAGAAGGAAGATGCAGACAAGGTTTGTTTGATTGGTCTCTAAATCTATAATGCAGTCCCTCTAACAACGCAACAGCGACACCTCCGAGACCTTGGAATCATGGTTGTCCAAGACGCTCGCAGATGTACTCATCTCGCAGCGCCGTCGATCCTGCGAACCCCAAAATTCGTCAACGCCCTGGCGTATGCACCCGCAATCGTCAACATCGAATTCATCACCAGCTGCCTCAAGAAGAACGAGCTCTTGAACCCCGCAGATTTCCCGCTCAAGGACCAAGAGGCCGAGACCAAGTTTGGATTCTCTCTTGCTCATGCCGCAAAACAAGCAAAGAAGAACAGGAACAAGCTCCTGCAGGGCTATCGCATCTACTGCGTCGAGAGCATCCGCGGCGGATTCGAGGCGTTCCAGTCCATTGCGCAGGCGAACGGCGGAGAATGCTCGCTCTTCCGGGGTCGTCTCCAGCTCGCCAAGCACTCCCGGCGGGAAGAAAGCGATGACGAAGACAGTGAGATGGAGGACGAGCCCGTCAAGGATGAGGTCTTTCTGCTCAGCAGCCTGGCGCCCGAGCATACGCGCCTGTGGCCGCGGTTCCGGCAGGTGTCGCATGATATCAAGAAAACGCCGCGCATCGTGCGTGTAGACTGGCTGTTGGACATGGCCATGTCGCAGGAGACACGAGCCGCAGACGACTATGAGCTGACAGAGGAGATGGCGGGGAAGGCGGATGAGATGGCTGTTGATTAAGCTTGGTCCGGATAGTTAGCCTTTCCATATTGGCTTTATTTGGGATAATCACCCACCAAAGTCAGACCCTCACCGTCTGGGTCCTCCCCAGTCTAATGAAATCCCAGTCTAATGATAAATTTTCTTCCACCCACGATTACGGTAGGCTTGAAAAGCCTCCTGGATACGATCCTCGCTTTATCAGAATTTTTGGGCGTGGTGGTGGTGGGTAATAATAGGAAGAACTTGGTAGAATTACGGATATACCGCGGTGACGCTGAATTACTTGAAATAGTTTAGCGTTACAAAAGATTCAGGACCCGCACCACCTATGGGGCTCCAAACTTCGTTCACCTTATTAGCGAGCGGTTTTCGCATCTACCAAGCATGCCTCTCTATTAACTTCCAACCCCTCTGATCCAGCCAAATGACTTCCCAGGACAGCCTCCCCCCGCTCCCTGATCTCATCGCACTTGCCCAACAGTGATATCAAGTCCTTGCGCCTTGCATGTAAACAATTTAGCAATGCAGCGAGTCTCCGCATCCAGCGAGTGTTTTTGTCCGCCAACCTATTAAATATAGAGGTCTTTCGCGCAGTTGCGAACCACAGGAAGTTCCGCCACAGGGTAGCGGAGATTATTTGGGACGATGCGCGCTTCACGGAGGGCCCACAAAGAAGTATTCATCTCTCCGAGGAAGAAGAATGGCTCTCGAACTCGGACTCGGACTCGAGCGAAGATGAGGATGAGGATGAGAATGAGGATGGGGATGAGTGTCCCAAATGGTTTAAGGTTTCATGCAAGCGAAATCTTAAGGAACTGAGGAAACGCAAGAATGGCGACGTGGACCGCCCAGATCATATCGCGCGAGCAGAGCAGGTTGCGGCACAGCCTCCGCTGAGAAACTGCTGGGAGTATTATCAAGATTTGCTACGACAGCAAGAAGATGTGCTAGCCGCTACCAGTGATGAAGAGGCCTTCCTGTACGGGCTAAAGCAGTTTTCTACATTGAAAAGAGTCACGATCACCCCTGCAGCCCATGGTCATCTTTTTGCTCCTTTTTACCCGACCCCAATGATTCGGGCATTTCCCAAAGGTTTCAACTATCCCATCCCTCGCGGATGGCCGACTAGCGGGGAACATGAGATTCCACCACTCGCCTTTCTATGGCAAAATCTCGATGAGGGGTATAAAGAAAAATACCGTGGATTCCGCATTGTGACACGCGTGCTCGCAGAAGAAGAACACAATGTCTCCGAGCTGATTCTGAATGCCAACCAACTTCCTACTGGAATCAATTGTACGATCTTTGATGATCCTTGCAAGGAGTACGACAATTTTGCTACGGTGCTAAAACATCCGGGGTTCCGTCGTCTAGACCTTGCCCTAATTATTGGTGGAATAGAGCGCGAAGAACTGAATTGGAGCTCGTTTCGCAATGGAAGGCTTCGCCAGGCACTAAGCGTAGCAAAAGACATAGAGGATATTAGGCTACACACCACGGTCATTAGTGACCCTTATTTTGACGGCACAACAGAGGTAGGCGCTGGATCACTTCGTCATTTCATTCCTTTACAGAGCATCTTTCCTATAGAGAAATGGTCGAAGCTTCGCCATTTCGAACTATCGCGTTTCCTAGTGGTGCAATCCGATGTCATCTCATTGCTTTCTGTATTACCAGAGACCCTCCGCTCCGTCCAGTTGAGTTGGCTGAAATTCCTCGACGACGGTGGGACTTGGTATAGCTTCCTCGCAGAAATGCGCAAAAAGATACGCGAAAATGTTCTCTGGCCAGATCGAGATACGGCCTCACGGCCAAAAGTTACGATCGGGGTATCAACATTCCATATCCGGGCTGGACGTGGGGTCTGGCTTGAAAAGGAGGTGCAAGACTTCCTCTACGGAGAGGGGGAGCACCCATTTTATAGTGATACGCCCAGAAGTGTGAAGACCGGATTCGGAACCGAGAGGGATACATTTGAGCCCAATCATGCTCGTCCTCAGGATTGTCGAAGTGTTTTAGAAGAGAAGGGCTATATCAAGCCCCTTGAATGAATGGATTGCCTCCTGCCGAGTCCTCATAGAAAGCTCTCTACGTGATGAAATTCACAGTCGAACTCATACAATATCCACCTACGTATGCAGTTGCAATTGCTTGAGCAGCTTGAACAGCTGGATTAGTGCTCGCCGCATAACACAAATGCACGTCTTTGCGTTTAGTCTAGAATGTACCGAAAATCAACACTCGCTGGTGAGGGCCTGACATTTGGAGGCGGGTATAGAGTCGCAGGCATCTCATTTGTTCTGCTGCCAAGGTCCTGTTCGGAGCTACCACCTAGCTTATCTCCGCCATCAGGTAAATGATGACAAATTGAACTACAGATCGGGAGACTCGGGGATGATTTGACGCCGTTGATTGTCTGAAGACCATAAGCAACAGGCCAATCCAATCAATGTAGGGAAAGTAGGCGGGATTTTTTCAGCAGCGAACCGGGCTTTGGATTGATCTCCAGTATAAAAAGTAGAAAAGCGTCTACAAATTAGAAGCATGAGCCCGTCCACAGCTGACTGACATTTGACTGCCATTTCCAGTCAATCTATTTCCATCCTCTGGATCACATACATCATCATGGCCAACCTTGCTGCCATCATCCCGGCTGCCAAGGCGCCCCTTGAGGTCCATGAAGTCGATACTTACAATCCCGGCCCTCATGAACTCCTCATCAAGAACGAGGTCATTGCATTCAACCCAGTGGAATTCAAAATTGCCAAACTCGGCATCTTTCCGTTTCAGTTCCCTGCCATTATTGGCTCTACCTTTGGGGGAAGAGTTGAAGCGGTCGGCCGACAAGTCACAGACTTTCAAGTTGGTGAGAGAGTGGTGGTCTCGAAGAAGTTCGGGGTCGTAGGCAATCAATATGGGGCATATCAAAGATATGTGCTTGTTGGGGATGTCATGGTCAGCAAAGTCCCGGCCGACATCGACTCAGCCATTCCGGCTAGTCTCATGATGAATTTGACCTGTGTGGTCGGCCTATTCACTGGAAGAGTGGGACTGGACAAGCCCAGCCTCGACGGCTCCACGCCAGTCAAAGGTCTGAAGGTTCTGGTCTACGGCGGCTCCTCCAGCTTTGGCGGTCTTTCCCTATAGTATCTTTCCCAAGCTGGTTACGCGGTCAGCACGACGTCCTCGCCCAACCATCGTGACTTTGTCTCCAAGTTGGGTGCCGCCGCGGTGGTCGATCACACACTCGAGCCGGACGCGCTCGTCAATGAACTCGTGGCCGAGGGTCCTTACGATCTATTGGTGGACACGATCTCTCTGCCGAACACAGTTGCGGTGACGGCGCGTGTGCTTGCAGCCCAGGGTGGCGGGAAACTGTACACCATGCAGCCTGCGTTTGGGCCTGAGACGCTTCCCCATGGCGTGACGCGTGTGTTTGAACCGTGGTCCGATTCTCTATACGAGGAAAAGAACCGCGGCTTGCAAGAGTGGGTGATGAAAACGTATCTCCCTCATGGAACTTCCCGGGGAGCCATCACTCCGCTCCCAATCGAAAAGGTCCGCGGGGGGTCAAAGGGAGTAAATGAGGCACTGGATCGCATGCAGAAAGGAGTCAGTGGGGTTAGGTTGGTCGCTGACCCTTGGGAATAGAGTCCGGTTGAAAAAGTGTTTCAGCACATAATATTTAAGTTACAAAGTACCATAGTGGACATGATTGTCAATCGCTACTAGACCACCAATAAGCACCTAGTAGGTATCGGCTCATAAGTAGCTTCTAGTGTCATAACTTATGGTTACATTGCTAAGAACGATCCCTATAAACACTAGTTATACAAATTAAGGTAATACCCATTTGCTAAGTACCCGCCAACTAATTCGTCACGTCCCCTTGACATTAGTGTTTCTCGTCTTCTTAACAAGAACATGCCCAGAGCCTTATGGCGAAACCAACTCTGAATCCTTACCAACCCCACACTAAGTAAATCTAGCTAGTCCCGGAACTAACTCCTAAGATAGACTATGCCTACGAATAGGATCATCAGGTGCATTAACCGTCTATCTACTATAATGCATTCGACTATAGTCAATTGCTTCGCCAGTTTTAACTTTCAAGAGCCTAGTAAGTGAACAGAAAGACGATTATTATGAACATAGTATAAAGCATGATACTGAAAACCGCAATTCCGCTAGATACTTTAGGCATCGTGGTGGTGGATAATACTAGGAAGAAGTTCAGAGGGGGAAGGAAAATGATAATTTGACTGTGTGATAGTTTGACTGTGAAGGACGCCCAATTGCTTCCGGGCGAGTATATCAATTGACCGATTTCCTACTGCTCAGGTGGAAATTGGACTAGGCTTCCACGGCTTACCCTTGCTAAACCGCCACCAGTTGACATTGAACAGATACCCAGTGCCAGTGCCGGTATAGACGAAGTACAGATCCTGAATTCCCGTCGCGCCACTGACAGCACAGGACACCGTGGTCCATGTTTGCCATCCCCCAGTGCTCGGGATAGTACAGGCACCAAGAAGAGTGCCGCCCACACTGCCGAGGTGCATCTCGATTGTGCCGCCACTTGTAGCCGAGGAGACTCGAAATTCAACAGACTTGGCGCCCTTACCACCGCCAAAGTCGACGCCTTCGACTTTAATGTAATCACCATCATTGATATTGCAGACATCAAGACCGCCTTCGCTACAGACCTCAGTTGAAACGCCAACTTCCCAAGCGATCAACTCTGCCTCCTGGCGTTGGTATGGGTCCAAGGTGTCAATTCGTGGAGCGCCCGTCTTGGTCATATTCATCTCGGGAATCGTACCATCTGGGTTGTAGGTAAAGGGCTCAACAGCCACAGATCGTTCGAAGCCACCACCTCCTGGTAGAGCGCCGTTATGGTAAAAGAAATATGAATAACCCTTATAATCAATGACCCCAGGATGATTTGTAAAGCTCGAGCCTTGGGTCTGCATGATAATGCCCTGATAACTCCAAGGTCCGAGGGGTCCTGTACCGATTGTGTAGCGAATATCCTCAGAGCAGCAGTCTGCAGCGTAGACGTTATAGTAGATGCCATTTCGCTTATAGACCCATGGGCCCTCCTCAAATGAAGTTGTGCGATTTTCACTGCCTTCGCGTGCCCCAAAACCAGCAACCGTAAGGTTGATCTGTGCAGGACTACCCGAATATGAGATCATATCCTCGTTCAGCTTGACGTACCATAGGTCTGGGTTGCCCCAATATAAGTATGCCTGGCCGTCATCGTCAATCATGACAGTTGGGTCAAACTCGTTATTCTCCAGTAGAGGGTGACCAAGCGCATCCACATACGGACCGGTAATTGTGTCGCTTATACCAACACCAATAGCCATAGCTCCAGTCGCGCCATGGGTCATCGGTGCGTAGTAGTAGAATTTGTCATTGCGCGAGACGACTTGGCCTGCCCAGGCATTGGCACTCGCCCAACTGAAAGTCTTTAAGCTCATGACTGTGCCATGATCCAACCAATTGACCATATCCGTGGTCGAAAAAAGCCGCCAGTCCGTCATATTGAAGAATGTTGAGTCTGGCAAATCGTGATCGGTAAAGCAGTAAAGGCGCCCATCATGTACGATCGGTGCTGGGTCTGCTGTGTATATGGTCTGTATGATGGGGTTATCGGCTCTAGCAAGCTCGCTGCCGCCCAGCAACGCGGATAAGCATAGTAGGGACCGGAACAATGGTGCAAAGGCCCTCATCTTGGAGAATGGGTCGTGGATTTTAGGGCCTCCCTGGCTGGAATGATAATATCGAGGTCTCTTAGAATATCGTATAACCCTTCTCGCGTTGTGCAAATAAATTATTGGCAAAGGTAAGATTCCAAAAATTGAACTGATATCGATGAGATTCTAGAGGGACTTAAATATCAATGATCATGACTTTTCCCGGACACGTAGAGAAGACTTTAACCGTCTCGAGGCTGGGATTTGCTCCGGTGGGAACTCGACTCCAGACTAGAGCCGAATGGCTTGTTCGGATCTGGGACCTCACCCCGCGAAACTAGGGCGGTAGAAAAGGCGCGCTCATCTATTTAGGCTAATCCATCAAGGTCAGGGCCAGTCCAGGAAATGGCGGGCGGAATACTAGATCACATTTTAACTGTGACGGTCCGATGTGATAAAGAAGAAGTGACATTCAACAGGAATCTTCAAACTGGGGAGAAGAAGAAGGAAAAAGAGGAAGGGCAACAGACTAGGCCTCGGCAAAACCCGTGGGTATGCAGACACATTCATGTTGTGAACGAGCCAACCTGCCACACTTTTCCTGGGGTCCTTGCGTAAGCGCTAATGCAGGTTATTGGGTGGGCCACATCTAATTGCGGGATGATAACCAATAATCGTGAGTGACCCCATGTTAAAATGTTGACCCCCTGTCAAATCTGCCGAACCCATATCAAATCTGCCGAACCCCTGTCAAATCTACTGAACCCCCGTCAAATCTGCCGAACCCTTGTCAAATCTACTGAACCCCTGGCAAACCTGCTGAACACCTGTTAAACCTGTGAACACTAACAAATTTAGGGGGACATATGATGCTTACATCCTGACCTGGATAGCTATCTATCTATATGCTTAGCTTAGACTTCATCAGGGCCCACGTCGGCCCAGGCCCAACTTATCCTAACCGACGAATTTTAGGTTTTAGGCCAAGTTCTATATAATGGACTATGCGCCCCTAATTAGGCCACAAACAATATTAAATAATACGACTAAAATTAAATTGGTATTTTACTCCTTAGTATGCTTTCGGGTAATATTTGTAGACTTACCTTTAATGATAAGGGCTCTTCTGAAGCTAGAGGCTATAATCATAGTGCGAAACTTATCCTAGAGAACAATAGCTATCTTTTAAACGCTCCCTCAAAGAGGAGTCTCTCTCCCTTACGAACAACAATGCCATTGATCGTGACGTCCACGTTCGGCAAGTAGCAAGCTTGAAACTCCCTTTCTCCAGAATCATACTCGGTCACAATTTCCCACTCACCAGATTTGAAGGCTTCAAAACCAAGTACGGCGTTTGTATGAGCTAACCCATTCTCGTAGATCTGTAGTGTGATTCCTCTAGAGTCGTTGTAAGCCTTATAACTCTCTCAGGGTCGTTACAAGAATCTAGCCCAACCAGAAAAATATCCGACGGATTCAAGACTCTGGAAAGCCACTAAGAGATTCCACAGCACCAGCAGGAGTAAAATATTGACAACATCACCGTCGTTCTGCTGCGGTTTTCCAGGTTCTTCAGCCAAACGAGGGCATCGTCGTAGGCTCCATGAAGACCATGGAATTCAACATATTTAAAGCAAGCAATAGAAATTTCCGCAAATTTCCGCTGCAACTCTATTGGAGAAAGGTCCAAGGCGTAGTAGTTTACTCGTTTCTCTGTTCGTTCACACTCCCGCAAGAAGAAATCGAGCTTACGCAGGTTTCTATAATAATATGTCAGAAGCGAACTAAGCGCGGCGATCAGACCACAAGTAGTCCTTTGGACCACGCATTGGAGTGCAAGTTGACGGACCTACTACCAAGCTCCACTAGCTGTGCGTTTTCTGGAATCCACTCCACAATTCTTGTTTCGTGTGTTGTTGTGTTGTCAAGACCTCCATCTCCGTGTTGGCTACGTAGTATTCGTCCAGGTAGGGGGAATTGATAGAGACATCACAGCGTTTGTTAGGGACACCACAGTAGGAAACGAGCGTCTCCTGCCCTTTGGTGGATTAAATTCTTGTAGAGATTATCCACGAGGGAAAAGTTTGTGTAATCGTGCCGAATGTCGACAATCTCGACAGCATCAACTTTGATACTTGCTGCTGAAGACATTCTGCTGTAGGCACTTTGCAGTTGTGTCAGATGGTAATTTGAACGAAGACGAGATAGGCAACAAAAGAAACAGGTGGAAAATACCCAGCTCAAAACGGACCGATAATCCGGGCTTATGGAATGAGGCAGCTGCGGCTAATGCAACCAATTTACCACTAATTACAGCAGAGGGCGAAGTAGCCGTCAAGGATGAAGCCCGCAGACGCGAGTCGAAGAGGATTGTGTGTCATATTTGTCTCATGTTCGTGGCTCTTATGTTCCTACACGTCAGTTTGTACACTAAGCTCTGTGGCCTCATAGTTATTATTGTACCTGCTTAATCACACCTATCTACTTAGGCTTAAGAAAAAGAGAAACATGTTGAGCAATGCAGATACACCACGCCTCCTTACTAAGTAGTAGGCGGCCAATGCCCCCCAAATCTAAGCGCTAGGTAGGTAAAGGGAGTATTCTTAGTGTTAGCGTCTCGAATACCCTTATACAGTCGCGGGATATCTAGGAGGCTGAGACATAAAGACGGAAGTGGGAACGTGATGCTAAATAGAAACGCGCTGAAATCTGCCGCTAGGGCGAAATTAGGGATCATGAAAATCAGAGAAGAGAGGGCAAAGCTTGAATGAGTCAATAGAGATGACGGCTAGCCAATCTGTAGTATTAATAGACGTGGGGGTATATTTGTAAATAGCATCAAAAGTTGGTCGGTAGGGTAAAAATTATCATTAGACTGGGGAGAAACCACGGCCGCGCAGCGTTGGGGTCCCGACTTTAGGGGGCGAGTATGTCGTAATTAGCATTAGTAGCTCTTTGTTGTTGTTTCTGGCGTCCTTTATGATTGACTAAAGCGTTTGTGGGTCTGTCACGAAACGAATATCCATGATCATTGCAATGGATGCATGCAAGAGCCTTAAAAGAACTTGACACCCTCTTGGCCCTCGCTGCCGAAGACCTGTGCCTTGCCGCGTTTGACCAGAACCTGCAGGGATTTGAGCATGAGCTCAATATCCATCCCATGGAACTCTTCGGCAGAAGAAAAAGAAACAAGTCAGCTTCTAACCCCATACCCCCAGGAAAAGAACAGGAGAATACCTTGCGACGCAGACCCCTCCCCCTGCACAATCTCATAAACCGTCAACACACTTCCCTTCTGCCCGGTCCCCTCGACCCACTCGCTCACAACATCCGCCCACTCCTCCGGCCTACGCCACCAGATCCAAGCAACCGATTTGGGACCATCGGCATCAATCCACTCAGCGCGCTTCCCGCCACCACCCTCCTCCTCCGACCTACACATCCAGTCGACCACCGCGCGCGCCTCGCGCAGATCCAGGCGTTTGTGCAGCGCCGCGTTGTGGAAGAGCGGCGTGTCAACTGCCTCGATGAGATTCAGTCGGTATTGGCGGTGATGGCGGCACCAGGCTTGGATTAGGAGGGACCATTTGTGGAGCTGGGAGTGGCGGGTTGTGGTGTTTGGTTGGGGGGTGAAGAAGGGGGGGAAGTTGTAGGTTGGTGGGAAGGGAAATGGTGCGGGTGTGGTAGTGGTGGTGGCCATTGTTGTTTATTCAGTGGTCAAAATGGACCTTTTGAGAGGGTTGAATGAGGAAGAAGTCGACGGTGAGGTGGAAGTGGAAGTGTAGATCAGAGTGGGGCATCCCGCAAATTATTCTGCCGTGATCTCGACCTTCTCTCTTTCTTTCTCTTCTGCTTCCACCAATTGACCACATACACAAACACACACAGGGCACCATGACAACACCTCCTCCATACAAGCGCCAAAAGCGCGAGGAATACCGCCGTCAACTGACCAATGCCGCCCCCGACGACACAGCGAGCTTCAAGGCGCCGCAGAAGCGGTTTTTCCGGCAGCGCGCGCATGCAAATCCCTTCTCGGATCACCACCTGGACTAGTACGCTACTCACATATGAGATATATGGGAAACAATGAAGGCTAATCTGTGAATAGTCCGCTGAGTCCAGCGCATATGGACTGGTCGTCGCATTATCCTGCGTTCGTGAATCCGGATGCCTCGAAGACGACTCCCGACGGTGCACGGAAACTGGTGAAGGATGTTGAGATTGTGGATATTGGGTGCGGATTTGGCGGTTTGACGGTTGCGCTGGCACCGTTATTGCCGGAGACGCTGATGGTTGGTAAGTGGGACAAATGTGGGAGGGTGGAAGACAAGACAAGGTACACTCTAATCACAGAAGCAGGCATGGAAATCCGAACCCAGGTCCTCGAATACCTGAACTCTCGCATCTGCTTTCTCCGCACGCAGCAGCAGCACCTCAAGAACAAGGCTGCCGCCACATCTTCAGAGTCACCTGCCCCCCCTGCCGCAGAGGAGGAGCCGGTCCAAAAAACATCCGATAAGCCCGCCGACGAAGCCGGCACGACGACGGCCATCGTCCCCGGCAACTACGAGAACATCTCCGCGATCCGAGCCAACACGATGAAGTTTCTCCCTAATTTCTTCGGCCACCACCAGCTGTCCAAGATCTTCATTTGCTTCCCCGACCCGCACTTCAAGGCGCGCAAGCACAAGGCGCGAATCATCTCCGAGTCCCTGAACGCCGAGTATGCCTACGTGCTACGCCCTGGGGGATTGTTGTATACCATTACTGACGTGGAGGAGTACCATCATTGGATTCTGCGACATTTCCAGCACGACCCGGAAACGCAATCTGTCTCGGGTGGGATCAAGGATCTTTGGGAGCGTGTGCCGGAGAGTGAACTAGAGCAGGATCCTTGTCTTCGTGTGATGAAGTTTGAAACGGAGGAGTCGAAGAAGGTCACCCGGAATAAGGGCAACAAGTACGTGGCTGTTTTCAGACGCAAGGCCGATCCGGAGTGGCCTGCCTAAGAAGAACAGAGAAAGCGATTGCAAGAAGACTCTGCTTGACATCCGTGGACGGCAAGCACCGCGAAAAAGATCAATGAATTCCAAAACAAGCTTGATAAATAAACACACATGCAGAAACCATATACCAATCAATAAAGATCCCAAACGACCAACTTCCAAAAGCACAAACTATTAAATATCATGAAATCAATAACTCATTAGCCAAGCATGTAACTCCTAACACATCCCAGGAGCTTTGAGACGAATGCCTTCGCAGTTCTCACAGATGGCCAATTGCACCGGGCCACCAATAATGCGCCCCTTCGCCGTCCGCCTGGGCTCGCCCTCGCGAACGAAGAAGCGTCCCTCAGACCCAAACCCATCGCCACATTCATGGCAGACGAAACAGCGTTCGTGCCACTGTCCGCCAATGGCAGAAATGACGACCTCGTCTAGCACATTCTGTTTACAGCCCTGGCAGCGCGGCGCCGTGCGGCGGGAATGGCAGTTGAGACACCATGCAAAACCGTCCTTCTCCACAAACGGGGTCTGTGGGTTGAAGGGATCACCGCACTCGGCGCAGAAGAAATGACCGACATGCCACTCGGCACCACAGGCAACCACCACCTCGCCTTCAATCGGGGTCTTGCAGCTCTTACAGCGGGGGCTGAAGAGTTCATGGAAGTCCAGGTGGCAGTAGAACCGCGGTATGTGGGCTTCTTCGTCATGGGGTGGTGCATTTGCCAGTCGTTCCGCACGGCTGGATTCGGGTTCCTCGTAGAAAGCCACGCATTCGAGCGCTGTCTGGCAGTGGAAACAGGTGAAGCATTCTGGATGGAACCGCGAGCCTCCAGCGGTTACAATCCTTCCAGAGATTCCAAGCGAGCAGGACTCGCATCGCGCCGTAGGGACACCGCTCCGCGTGTATGGTGAGTACCATTGGCCGCGCGAGTTGGAGGGTTGCTTCTTTGGGACTGGCTGTTGGCTCTGGCTGCTCTTATTTGCGGGCTGAATCTCTTGGCGAGAAGGCTCCGAAATCTCGGAGATGGTCGGTTCTTGGATGTCCGGGACATTGATCACTGGGATTGGAGGTGCCTCGGACACTTGGATCGTTGGTGCCTCCGGAACTGGAGGAGGGGCCTGGGAGGTCGACTCGCGAGCCTGACGATTGGGCCTCGACTGCTCACTTGGCTGCCATTTAGGATCAAAGCTGACAATGGGCCGGCCACTTCGATCACTGACCGCGGTAGGCTTGGGCAAGTTGTCGCTTCGGTCTTTCAACTTCTTACTGGTGGCTGCGCGGATGTCGTCGCTGCGGATCTCCATCCCTCCCTTGGTAGGCGCGGTCTCCTCCTGGGCGCTGGGAGGCTGCTTGGGTAGAGCATCGTTTTTAGTATACTCGGGGTTCTGAGATTGGCTGGGAGGGTTCTTGTGGATGTCAAAACGGGCGATCTTGTCTAGTATCGGGCGGTCATTTGCGGAGCTTCTATCCCGCAACCAAGGAAGAGTTTTGCCAATCCTCGGGAGAGAATTGCGCGGCTTTGACTTTAGAACGGAGGAGTCCGATCTAGAAAAGCTGGCCTGCGCATTTTGTTCCGGGTTGCGAGGATCACGAGGCTCCTCATAGATTTGATCGTTTGGATTTCTGAAGATTCCCTTGGATGAACCACTGCTGATATTTCTTGTTTTCGATCCGTCAGTCTCCTCTGCAGGCAATGCAAAGTTGACTTTAGAATTCTTCTTCAAAGGCCCATAGCTCTTATCCTTGGAGAGAGACGAACGCCAGGAGCTCGAGAATTTCTGACTGTCAGGACTGGAAGAGCTGCCACCGGATGATCCACTTGGAATCCTGGTAGAAGAGGCGGCTCTTCGCGGGCCCTTTGTACTCGAAACCCGACCCGAATACCGTTTGGTGTTATCTGGGTTGCGGTAAGGGCCATGCGGGTCCTTGTATGGCACGCCGGGGTTCTGGTGCGCCCACACCAGCTCCGCAGCTTCATCCTGCGCCGCCTGGTACAAACTTCCCTCATCCTGAAGGTCCACTTGTTGCAGGGCATCCCGAAGGGACCGTGCCTCTTCTCTCTCCTGGCGTCGCTGCTGGTTTTCCTGGTAATAGGGGATCGAGGAGTCTGGGAGTGTGCGAGAAAACACCTCGGCAGGAAAGATCTTGCGCCCAGAGACTGAACGTGGCGGGTCAAAGGCAATCGAGTTGGGGCGGTTGGTCGAGGTGCGGCGAGAAGCCAGGGAGCTGCTGGAGCGAGGCTCGTCCTCACCCGCGTCGGTCTGTCGATACATGGAGAACGCGGAGGCCGCGCGCGGAGGAAGGTTATCCTGAATATCTGACGTGGATGCTTTCCCTGGCAGTGGGCGCGATCCAGTCGGACGAGCTGGACGATTCATCCGGAGATCTTTTAGGTAGCTTGCTGTGATTCGAGGGGGTTTAGCGGGACAAACATTCCACAGGACGGGAGATCTAAGGGGATCTCAGGGGATCTAACCGATCTGGTCACTAGACATGTACGTCGGCCCGGGCGGCGACACTTTCCTAGATTTGTGCATCATGGCTGCTGCTGTTCGGGGACAATCAAGGGATGAGGAATGGATGAGTCCAATATCAACAAGATAACGCATCGGTGGGGCCACAACAAACAACTGGCGCGGCAACGCCTGACTCATCCGCACGTGATGCCATGGAGAAGTATACAAAGGATGGGAGGAAAACAGTAATTCGTACAAAGTCCTCTTAACTATTCGAGATAGCAATATCGTCATCGTGCTGCGAGATTGTGCCCAATACTTTTAGTACGCATTTATAGCGTGAGACGGAAGACAGCTAATATTTCTCGCAGGACAGTCAGAGCAAAGGCACGGAGAGTCCTGAGTCACCGAGTCCCCCTAATTCATCGCGCGGTTGTTTGACAAGTAGTGTTCAATTCGTGCTCCACCATATTGGCTCGTTCTCAATATGATCATGAGTCTCCTGCTCTCGAGAAATCAATAGAACTGACCGCACGAGCGCGCATAGTCCGTACAGACATTGGTGCCAAAGTTTTTCGAGTCTGCCCAACGGCCCTTTTCATGCGTAATTCCGCCCATAGTGTACAGTATTATTCCTCTATGATAATTATCTGGCAAGGTCTAGCATCCAGCAAGATGTTTTCCCTTTCAATTTGTCGACTTCTACTACTCCTATGTTTGCGGTCTGGGCCGGTTGGGGGCGGACCGCCGCCCCCAAGCTCTCCGCACCGGCACTCGGCACAGCGCCTAGTGGAGACAAGCAAGAGCACTGACAACTAAGTAAGCCCAGGCGAAGTGGTTCCGCTTGCTCAACGAGCTACTGGGCCCGGTCATTGGCCTGCGGGCGCCGAAACTGCGGCTAAACCCCCCACGAGCACACCGGACCTTTTTTTCATGTCATAAAAAGGGACCTCGGCCTTTAGTCCGTAAGACTGTCCAGATAATGGTCTGCTTGGGTTTTTCGTTTTCTTTTGTTCTTGTTTATACCACACAAGCCTCCATGTCGTGATGCAAACAGTATTCCGGTTTCGGATCCAGTCAAGCTACCAGTGAGAGTCGCGGGGTCCAACAAATCAGTAATTTTTCGACTCCGCGATGGCGGACAATACGCCGATTGATATTATCCGTTCGCATGACAGTAATGACTTGGATTTTGAACGCACCTCGCGCCATGGGCAAGACCACAATGCGCAGTCACTGACTGAACCACAGCCGGACGGCGACGAAGACGAGAAAGACAAGCGTGCATTGCCTCCAGACGGTGGGTATGGCTGGGTCTGTGTCGCGTGCGTCTTCTGGATCAATGCGCACACCTGGGGAATCAATAGCGTCAGTATCAGGGTCCCGTTGTGAGATTTTCGCGAAGTTAACAAACCAATGTGCAGAGCTACGGAGTCTTTCTCTCCTACTATCTCTCCCATGATGTATTCCCCAATACCTCGGTCCTCGCATACGCCTTCACAGGTGGTCTTAGCATCTCCTGTGCTTTGCTCATTGCCCCGCTCTCCACATACCTGATCCACCTGTTCGGTAATCGCGTTGTGGTGAATCTCGGCGTCTTCTTCGAGACGCTGTCTTTCATTGGGGCTTCGTTTGCTTCGAAAAAATGGCAGATTTTCCTGAGCCAGGGTGTTTGCTTCGGAATCGGGATGGGTTTTCTGTTCGTGGGTAGCGTCAGCATTACACCGCAGTGGTTCCTGAAACGCCGGAGTGTTGCCATGGGCATTACGGCTGCAGGATCGGGACTCGGTGGTCTGATCTGGTCGCTAGCCGTCGGTGCAATGATCCCGGGGATAGGTTTGGCCTGGACATTCCGTGTGCTAGGGATCGTCTCGTGCGTCGTGAATCTAGTCTGTGCGAACCTGCTTCGAGACCGCAATAAGATCATCGGCAGCCGTCTGGCTCCGTTTCACTTCCCACTTCTACGCCGGCCGGAGTTTCTGTTCTTTCTCGGCTGGGGAGTCTTCAGTATGCTGGGCTACGTATCGCTGCTATTTAGCATGGCCGATTTCGCACTATCAATTGGCCTCTCCTCGCACCAGGCGAGTGTTGTTTCCGCCCTCCTGAATCTGGGACAGGGCCTGGGTCGTCCATTCGTGGGCATGTTCAGCGACCGACTAGGCCGCATCAACATTGCCACGCTGCTCTCTTTCTGCTGCGGCTTCTTCTGTCTAATTATCTGGATCTTCGCGGACAGTATGGGCGTCACCTGCTTCTTTGCTGTCTTGGTTGGCACCGTCTCCGGTACATATTGGGCAACTGTCTCACCGGTGCTGGCTGAAATCATCGGCCTGAGAGACCTCCCTTCCGGTCTCAGCATTGCCTGGCTATGCCTCGTCGCACCCTGCACCGTTTCCGAGCCTATTGCCTTGGAACTCCGCGCTCGCCTCCCCGGCGGTGGATCATCCTATCAACATCTCCAAATCTTCACGGGGTTTGCATATATTGGCGCCTCCTTGTTCCTGTGGATTGTCCGTGGCTGGAAGGTCGGCGAGCAGGAGCGTGAAGAGCGGCGAAGGGAAGAGGCCACCCAGGGTGGTCCTCTGACGGAAGAAGTTGGTGAGAATGAAAAGCGAGAACGTCCTGCCACTATCCTGTCTACTTCGACATCCGCCGCCACTACTAATGCGCAGTTGTGGGCTCCATTCGGTCTGGTACGCAGAATGGTTGCTATGAAGCGCGTATGAAGATGTTTATAAGACTCCTAGAAAAGAGGGTAGGTCTATAGAATGCGAGAAGCATGACTGACTTTCCAAGTGCTTCGATTCAAACGTATTATACCCTCGGCCGCACTTCGGTGATTTAGAACTTGTTGCAATTCGAAGTTTAACTGGTATAGAGTATCTGCTAGTTAAAACGCCAAAAGACTTTTTAGTAAGCATCAAGTAAGTTAAAAAATAAAGATGATCATGCTTGGGAAAACGGATAATAGCAGATGATTCTGTAGTACATGAGAATTCACTGCTCTGGCCATCATGCAGTTCAGGTTGTGTAGTCTAATGGTTAGGACCCCAGATTCTGATTCTGGTAGTCCCGGTTCGATCCCGGGCACGACCTTTACTTTTTGCTTTTTTTTTCTTTTTTTTTCCTATTTCTATGTGTAGACGACCAATCATAGGCCGTCAATTCAGGAGAAAAATTCTTACCAATAGCGTTTAGCTGAATGGACGTTTGGCCTTATAATTTGTTAAGGATAGAGGAGGGATAGCTAGTACCATAGAAACTGAGCTAACCAATTCGGGTTGTGTAGTCTAATGGTTAGGACCCCAGATTCTGATTCTGGTAGTCCCGGTTCGATCCCGGGCACGACCTTCACTTTTTTTGATTTAAAATCAGTTTAAGTATTATTTTTTATCTAGTTACGGTGTACGTTCTGTTTGTACCTAACTGTGCCAAACCCTAGGCAAATTCAATCTGTGGAAATCGAATGAGGAGACGTGATTTCAGACAGGTGCATTCACAAGTTTCTCATATGCGCCCACCATGATGGATATACATTCTGAGTCGAAAACAGATTCCCTTTCGTGCACTCACGAATTGTTTCTCGAACCCTATCATGAAGCACACTAATCTGGCTTATGATATCTATGCGGTTTGCGTTCCGAAAAAGCGATTGTCAGGAACTATAGTTTCTTTCTTTATCAAACTATAGTCTTTACTTTAGTCTCTCTCCTCATTAGGCTTTGCTAAGGAGAAGGCACTTGCGAGAACATTGATGTTTACTACTTTGCTTTAGAACTAAATGAGGCCAACTATGTGTAGCAAGGTCTCAATAGTTCAGGAATCGTCGCTGAGCCCTAGCTGGGATGAAGCGGTCATCTGTATTTATGGTTGTCCTTCCTGCTACTGGTGTTGGATAAGTGTTTCAACCATATATATACTGTAACAATTTGTGCGGTCAGTCAGCTTCACTGGAGTAGCTTGACTACTGCCTCATGTCCAGCCTGTACTGCGAATGATAGCGGTGTTCGAAGCATGATTTCAAAGGTGTTCGCTTGATGGAAAATGAGCTCAAGCAGGCTTGTAGCATTCGGAACTCTAAGACGCTTCAGCCGTGATGAGACAATAGCTCCTTTTCATGTCACTGATGAGATACTGCTTTAGGGTGAGGAGCCTCGAAGTCACGTTGCGTAGTCCAACCTTGGATGACACTCAAAAGAAATGGGTGAACAAGCCAGATTGCCAGAAACTTGGATACGAGGTAGGGTGGGAGGGGGAGCACTGCCTCTAATTAGTCAGGGTATGTCGTGTACGTTAACTAAGACCCTGAGCCAGAGGACTTGTATCGCGTGGCATGAAGACAGTTACAGAGTACGTACTCTGTGCTTGTACTATACAAAATCTCAAACCAGGTGTACCCTATCCTCAATTGTAATGATCAATAGATCTAACTAACACACGCACACACACAGAGAGAGAGAAGAGAGAACGAAACAAAAGAAAAGAAAAGAAACAGTAAAGGTAGCTAAATCCCAACCTCTGTACTCTGTTCGCCAAAAGTCCTCTCATTTGTTTTGTCTTACCCACAGAGCCTTTGTGGTAACATAAGGAATAGAATCGACTGGAATGAACAACCTTTTTTTTCTTTGGCAAGATTCTGAATGGCATTCGCGTTCTACCGCGTGATAAACGGGTGGGCTGTCTTTAGTCCATCTTGGACGGATCTCAGTTTTGCCATCTGTGTTGCAATTCTTGCATTTTGTTCGAACAGGTTTTTGAAGCTCTCTAGGAGCTTCGTCGAATTTTAGGAGGTAGTCATCGATACCCGGGCGTAAACGTCCATCCCCGCTAGGTTTTGCGGATAAATACTCCAAACTCCCTCTAATGTATCCAAATTCCGCAGACACCGGAATCATCCAACGCGTTCGCCCATTGCACTTGTCTGAGTTACACATTGATTGTCGGGCAATGTAGAGGCGTGTATCCACTGACCAGAAGCGGGGTTCTTCATCGGGTATCCATCGTCTCCCACAATTGGCACATTTTCTTTCTATTGTGAAGGTCTCGACAGGAACCATGATATATGGAATCTTGGAGTTCGACGTGTTTACCAAAGAAGAAGGTGTTGCACGCTTCAAAGGATGTAGGTTTGGTGGCAGTTCAAGATGCTCTGTTGTGGAAATCACAGTACTGGCTTTGCTAACGTCTTGAACCTTGACTGTCAGGCCTGTATCTGTTGATGGCCCCTGGGGCTCAAGCTTGGGCGAAGACAGTGAGTTTTCGTTTGAAATGCGGGAGAGTAATTTCTTGTCTGGTCGAATCCAGGGAACGCCCTCGTCCCGAGGAATTGCGAATCGCCGAGAAGTTCCACATGTCAAAGACCGACAAGCTCTAGTTTCGCGGGCGACATAGATCTCGGGTCTGGCTTGGCAGAAGCGCGCTACCCTATCCGAATGAAGTACTCTCGAGCAACCAGAGCACTTGAGGGGAACCACCACATTTGTACGAACTTCCACAAACTTAGCGATCGTGTGGAACACCATATTTCTCTGGGAAGACGATTGATGCCGGCAGAATAAGCTAAAAACCATACGCTTCAAGCCATATTGCACATCGTTGCGGACTTGATCAGGATGGAATGCTTCCTGGTATGCATGTGCCAGACTATCCGCATTTGTAATTGGATCGCCAGAGAAACCAGCCTGTCCGCTTTGTAACCAGTGCTTCATAGGCTCTGGTAGATCTGCGAAGATGTATATTTCATCCTCCTTGGACCACGTAGTATTGAACAGTCTCTCCGCTAGCTCTAGCAGCTGCGTTCTCATGCGGCCTTTGAGTGGAACACGGCCGAGCGGTTTCTCTGAGGTTCCATCAGATATTTCAAGTTTGTCTTGAGCATCTTGCTGTCTCTTCAATCGCTTCGTTCTGTTAACAAAGTAACATGTATCGACCTCTACACCGGCCAGCACAGCAGCTGCATTAATTTTTTGGTCTTGAAGCCAAGCGAGGTTTGGGTCGTAGTTGTGCAAGAAGAACTCCGGGTGGTATACGAATAAGATCAAGCGACGAATCATTTTGATCTTTCCTTCGTAATCGGGACGGTTGTGCACTATAATCCAAGCGTTAATGGTTGGGTATATACCCAGGTAGCGTTAAACCTCTGGGCTTAGGTGACTGGCACTTACAATCAAGGTCTGCATCTTTCTCCATCCAATCCAAGTAAACCTCGATACCTTTGAATGGACCCCAGAGTGGAAGAGCCGAAAGGTCGAGGCTTTGAGTTAAGCGCTTGTAGTTGGCTGTGCCCCAGACTATCTCAAGTTTGGCGTGCATATGTTCTCGCAAAAATCGGCACCAGTCCTCGTGGCAAGCTATGGTGCCAGCGTTGTAGGATTTCATAGCATGAGACTTTGGCTCACGTCTTGAAAAATGATCGAACCAGAAAGCGTTCTTTTGGTTGAACCCTTTGCCGATAACCAATTGCATGCAGCTGTTTGACGAATCGCAGACTTCTCCATCGACGCCGTAGTCCGTTACGAAGCTTGGGTGATGAAGGTGGATGCCAATCTTGGCTTTGATGGACCCTGACGGAGCGACGATTTCCTGCTCGGCTTTCAGGGTTGGTAACCATGATTTAACTTCAAGTCCTTTGAAAACTACAAAGTTCTTGCGTACGTCGTCGTCATCGACTGCCCCGGGTCCGGTGTATTCAGAAGGCGATGCTCTCTCAAACCTCTGAAGGTATGGTAACAGTTGCTGCAGATTTTTTGTTTCCTCTTTTGTCAGGTACTCCTCTGGATATGGAAGGAAGAGCCTGCCAAAGAGCCGAAACTCGCAATCTTTGATTTCGTATTCCATTTCGGGATTCGATAGATGGATGGATATGCGGTGAGTACTCTGAGTGGGCTTTTGATCGGGTCGAAGAGCTCAAGAGAGGTCAGAGAGACGACAGAAGACAGAGAAGGACGAGATCATGAAGGAAAGGAAACGACGGAGTGAGTTGTATTGACAGAGTGATCTCCCTACAAGGGAAAGGCTACCTCAGGCCCCCACCTCATCAACTTTCTTGTCTAATAAAAGCGTTCGTGAATGAGTCCTTCGACTCACTTGAGCTCTCTGTCTCTGTACGTAGCTAATTCTCTCCTAAGCATCTGTCACCACTGATTTCAGCTCACTCGTTCCCCACCCCTGTAGAGGTCACAAGCTCTTTCGCTCGTTGTCTGTAGGGCTTTACATATCTCAAATATTCTATCTCCCCTCTATCTTTTTCACATGTCCTCACATTCTATGGGTAAATTCATGGTAAACCTTCATAAAGTTGGTAGCTTTGAGCATCACTTCCTTTTCTCTTTAGAAATACATAAACGAATAGACACCCTGTTCATGCCTTAGTGATCAAAATCCGCACCCGTCTCTTGCCAGCCCCACGACCTTCTTCCTTGACCGAGTTAACATTGACTTGAACCTTTTGGAAGAGTTCCACGAGCACACTTCGTTCCTTCTCCGGATGCCCCTTCTCCTGGACTCGGAGGGTGTACTCCTCATTATCAAAGTCCGTCGTGCGATGCACAGCCAGCTCGCGTCTCTCCGCAACGGATCGGATGCCAGATTCACCGGGAAGCACAAAGTCCTCCAGACGAACCACGCCCTCAATACCGAAACGCGGAACGAAGACAACGACGCCGTTCTCGAACACGCGCATCACATACCCTTCTTCGTCGGTGCCCGTGTCGCCGCCCTTAGTGGCCAAATTCTCACCGCGCTTCTTGAGTGCCTGGCCCACGTAGTATTCGATACTGGCACGGCCGGCAAACTGTGCATTGCGGTGTCGATAGTTGATGTTGCGGCAGATGTCCTCAAGCTTGCTGCGCGTGCTGGTTCCTTCGATAACAGCGCGCCCGTCTTCGCCCTCATACCCAATAGCAGAGGCGAGTTGTCGGTGGACGAGCAGGTCGGCATATCGTCGGATCGGCGAGGTGAAGTGGGTATAGATAGGCGACGCCAGACCATAGTGGCGGAATTCAGACTCGGCGTGCGCCCCAGCGCAGAAGTATTCGGCAGAGGTCATGCATCGGGTTGCGAGGATACGGACGAGAGTGTTGAAGAAAGGATTCTCAGGATCAACGCAGCGGTCGAGAGAGTCGGCAAGGGCCCTGGAACTAGACACATCGAGCTCCATATTCCGCTTCTTTGACAATTGATTGATGAGGTCTTCGAAATTCTGTGGTGGGGGAGTAGCGTGACGACGAAGTAAGGCTGTCTGCGAATAAGAATCGTAGATCTTAGAAGCAACAGTGATGTTGGCGAGAAGCATAAACTCCTCGACCAGACTGTTCGTCTCGAGCATGGCTTTGGTTTTGACATCTGCCAGAGGATCACCAACTTCATCACTATCTGTCTCGATGCGGACCTCCGGAGATGCAAGGTTCAAAGCGCCCGCATCCATACGCTTCTGACGGAGGATTTTGGAGAACTTCAGAAGATTGCGCATGCTTTGGGTCAGCTCGTCATTCTGCGATGAATCGTCGATGCGCAGCTGCGCCTGTTCGTAGCTGAAGGCATCGCGTGAACGAATGACCGATTTGGTGAAGTCCGAAGACACAATCTCCGCATTTGGCGTCACCTCCCAGAGAACCGAGAAAGCATAGCGCTCCACATACGGCTTGAGGGAGCACAAGTCTGTACCCAGTAGTGCCGGAAGCATGTCGATACGTTTGTCGACGAGGTAGACCGTGGTTCCGCGAACACTCGCCTCAAGGTCCATTGGATTGTTCGGCTTCACGAAGTGCGACACGTCTGCAATATGAACTCCAACCTCGAAGTTTCCGTTGGGGAGGGGCCGCGCGTGCAAGGCATCATCGATATCCTGACAGCCTGGCGGATCGATACTGCAGATAAGAAGGTCTCGGAGATCTCGCCTCCCCTTCCAGCCTTTATCCTCCTTGGATGCAGGCACCTTCCAATCGTGACCCTCCACAGGCAGACAATCCAGAATGGATTTGGCAAATGGCTTGTACTGAACGTCATGTTCCAGGAGTAGAGCCTCCGTTTCGGCACCTTTCGTCTCCAATTCTCCCAGAGAACGGATGAAGTGACCACTAGGATAACGAGAATCGCGACTCCAAGAATCAATGGTGACTAGAATGCGCTGGCCAAGTAGGTCACCGGCTTGTCTCGTGCGCACCCGGATCTTCGGCACCCGCTTATCCATAGGTAGCACAAAGATTGTTTGTTGCCGCCGACCCGAAGCGGCCTGGGACCCGGTTGAGTTCGAATCCACATGTCCCACATATTGACGCCAGCTGCGCTTGATGACACCAACGACTTTGGCAGTTGGTTGCGGCTTGCCCTCCGAATTCTTGCCGTGGGCCTTCTTTACCTCCTCCTGAAGTGCTTTGCGCTCTTTTTCCGTCACCACAGCCTCGGTCTCCTCGGTTTCTGGATTGTCGTTTCGGGTCACCGCTTCCTCGTCCATGATCTTCGTTGAAGGAGACTTCCATTGGTCTTGAGGAAGCACTTCGATCACAACGACATCACCGGCGATCGCACGGTTGCTGTTGTCACGGCCCAGAATGAGAAGCGGTTTATCGAAAGCTGCAACATTGACCGAGCCCTCCAGGTAGTTGTAAGGCGAAACGTTGTAGACACCCTGGTGGAGAGTCCCCGCTCGCAAACCAGTCGTGAGTTTCGACATTGAATAGTATTCGGGATAGAACATTTGCCCACGAGCGGAGCCCTTGGCATCCCGTGCTTCCCTGGCTTCACTGATCATATCCAACAGCTTCTCCGAGTCTTCCAATCCGGCAACATAGTCAGACAAGGACAAGGCTGTTACACCTTCATTCGCGGCTTTGCGGAGATTGTCCTTGTCATCGGTAATGACCACAATTGCAGGCACCGCCTTTTCTTTCTTTGCCTTTGTCGATGATGCTCGAAGATGTTCTCCATACCAACTGGCCACCGTGCGCACGGCACGATCATTACGGTCGTTGATCGACTCATCCGGCTCTCTCCGAATATGGGTTTCCAGGCGAAACTCGTTGAAGAAAAGGTAGAAGCGTTTCTCGTCGGTCTTGATCAAGGCAAGAAGGCGATTGTACAGCGGCAGCGACTGATTCCGGAGCTCCTCGAGAACGGTCTGAAGAATAATCACATCATAAAATGCCCCCGTATGCTCAAAAAGATCCATTCCATTCAAGAGCGCATTCGTATCGGGAACGAGGTAGTGGCCGCGCGGAAAGGCCTTCGTGCCAGCGGGACGATCGGAGAGGACGAACGGCGCAACTAGCGAAGCGTTAGCACTGAGCAGCAACATGAAAAGCAGCCGCATTCTTACTGTTTCCATTGGCGTCGGCCGGTGCAATTGACGGGCATATCGTGCACAGCTTTGAAGAGCATGGAATATCCTGTCGCAAGTAGAGCTCGCGGACAATCTTTTGGACCTTTCCACTCTTGGTCGATCTCACGAAGACTTTGCTGGAGACATTTGCGGCCTGCGGGTTCGAGGAGAAATCCCTCCGAAGGCTCTTCATGGCGACAGTGAACTCTCGTAGGTGAGTGAGTTCCCAAGAAGTGTGAGCGACAAAAATGGATGGAGCGGGAACGAGAGAGTCGAGCGATAGCTGACTCAGCCATATCACCGCATGCCCTGGAATAGTGACGGACCCTCCTCTGTATTTACTGCGGGCGATATACAACTATTCACTAAATCAAGATGGTACTTGCAGTATGTTTTGTCCACTGAATTTATTGACCATTTTACTCACTGCTTTTGTCTCCATGAGGTAGGCTGTGGGCCAGCTCTGTTCGACAGCGAGCATGTCTACCAACCTGGCCCAATGCCAGACTCTGGTCAGGAAAGCCGTTGCAGCCGGTGCCAAGGTACTTTTGATTGCTTTTAAACTATAGAAACTTGCTGATACCGCGCGAGGCACTGTTCCTGCCCGAGGCCTCGGACTATATAGGCTCATCGGCAGCAGAAACCGTTTCACTGGCTCGCTCCGTGGAAGACAGTGAATTTGTCCTCGGCCTGCAAAAAGAAGCCCAGCAAAAGAACCTCCACATCAATGTTGGAATTCATGAACCGGCCTCGGGCGGCAAAGTCAAGAACACACTCATCTGGATTGATGATAAGGGAGCAATCACCCAACGCTACCAGAAAGTTCATCTATTTGATGTGGATATTAAGGATGGTCCAGTCCTGAAGGAGAGCTCGTGAGCGACTGACTCTTGATTTATGAGGAACTTGTTAACATATGAGATGGCATCCAGGAGTGTGGAGAAAGGACAGGAAATATTGAGTCCATTCGAAACGCCCGTGGGGCGGGTAGGACTGATGATATGCTTTGATGTAAGTTGATGTCGTTACTTTATTCCCCGACGGTATACTCAATATTCTCTCCTTAGTTACGATTCCCCGAAATCAGCCTTGCGCTGAAGCGTCAAAATGCTCAGGTTATTACGTATCCATCGGCCTTCACAATGCCTACCGGCAAAGCTCACTGGGAGCCTCTCCTTCGAGCAAGAGCTATTGAAACACAGTCCTACGTGATAGCAGCCGCGCAGTCAGGCCCTCATAACGATAAGCGTCGCAGCTATGGTCACTCGATGATTGTCAGCCCATGGGGGGAAGTCGTTGCCGAACTGGGAGAAGAATACCAAGAGCCACAGATTGCTGTTGCCGACATAGATCTAGATCTTGTGGCGAAGATTAAGCGGGAGATGCCCTTGCTCAGGAGGACAGATGTATACCCGGTGGTGTAACATGAGAGTATCGAGTTCAGAGTGAGGAGATATATTGAGAAGACAAGAAACTACTGCATGAAAGCCGGTTCAATGAATATAGAGTAGTACAGTAGGATTCAACGAAAATGGGAGATAGCGGACAAAAGAAAGAAAACATGCAACAAGCGAGTCTAAGAGAAGAACCGAAGGATAAGATCCGCAACTTAGCACAGGCATCAACCGAAGATAGGCCCTTTTCACTCTCTATGTACAGTGTACAGATTAAAACCCATCATTCCATGCGCTTATTTCTGGACCTTGGTCGGATCCTCCAGAATGCCCTCGGCCTCCAGCCGCCGGCGAGCTTCTTCCAGAGCCCACGTTTGTATCCTATCGCAACAGTCAGTCAGCATGAGTCTTTTGGGGTGTCGCTGTGGTTCCCAAAGTGATGGGTACAGCAACAAGGGAAACAAGGAGGACATACGAGGTGTCCGGCTTGAACACGTATGCGACGCCAGCAACAACCAGGCTGCCAATAAATCCCCAGTACCAGACGCCCTCCCAGCCCTCCTTCTCGTACTTCTGGCCGGGCTTGACTCCGAACAGCCAGCCGGTTGGCGGGTCGTAGTGGTCACCGTGGTCCGCAGCGCGCAGGTTGCTCCGGGTCGAGAAGGCCTGGACATTCTGGGGCCTGCGGAGCAGGCACCGAGAGCGAAGCATTTGCGACACTGGCCGAGCCACCATTTTGAAGGTTGTAGAGGAGAGTGGCCGTTGAGAAAGCGGACACGAAGATCGGCGGGAAGAACCGGGGGTTGGGGAGCTTCGGGATCGAGGACGCGAAGGGCGGAAACAAATCGCCCAGTCTATTGACAAGGCGCTCAATATCCCAATTGACGGTTGTGGACCTTGACGCTGTGCTTGGGAGCGGCAAGGAGGTGGAGGGGTTGGAGTTGATGTTCGATTGAAGCCGTGCAAGCCGATGGAGACCTGGTCTGCCGCTAGTCCCGTTGGGGCGATTTTTGCTGTCCGCTTTTGGGGCCTGGTATTTCAGGCGATAATTAATGCCTCGATGTCCAGGCATCAATTTGATACGCGTCGCGTCTTCCTCTTTCCTGGCCAATCCATCCCCACTTGAACAACAACCGGCCCCAGTACATAACTAACCATCGCATTCACAAACAACTGGTATGCGGAACTGATCCCTCCCATTCGGCCACTCTTTTCCATTGCTGACTAGAATCCACCCAAGCTTGCCACGAGAATGTATGCTTACCCATTTTGAACTCTGGCGATTGGATACTGCCAGATAGAGCCATGGCCGGGAACGACAGCTCTTTTCCCATATCTTCCAACTCCCGCAGAGCTTTAAATGCCTTCCGCTTCACCGATGAGCAAGACACCACTACGACTTCGAAGAATGGGGTGAAAACAGCCCATGGCAACAAGGAGAACCAAAGCTCGTGGCTGAATGGAGTGGTGGACCCGATGCAGACTTCGCCCGATAAGGCCAGCGCTGAAGCTCCTGCTGCCGCACCGGCTCCCGCTCCAGCAGTTCCCGAAAAAGACTCGAAGCCCATTAAAGAGTGCCCACAGACTCCCGGGAACCGAATTCCTCTCGCGGACCTGATCAGCAACGCCGAAGACGCTTTTGATCCCGCTCCAGGCCCGGAAATGACGCCGGTCGACCATGTCATCTGGCAACATGTCCCTGTCAGCTCAAATCCGGATACCTCGTCACAGACCCCGGCGGGTCGTCGCCGAAAGCGGCGCCATAGCTCCTCGTCTCCGAGCTCTCCTTCCGACGGCAACTCGAAAAAGGGCCAAAAAGAGCCATTGGACCTCCAGTCGATACAGGCATTGTTTAAGACACCCCAGCATGATCTGGCTGCCGAGTTGTGGAATAATTATATGGACAAGAACATGGTCTCGGGCTCCGAGAAACTTCCGCCACCCCGCCTTGGAAACCTTCTCTCATCGTCACCTCAAACACCGGCATCAGGCAGAACCAGCCGAGATTCGTCGGGCTTGAGGCGATCCATAAGTTGTGCAGCTGAATGGCCCACCTCCCGGGCGAAGAGAAGACGAGTCAACAAACAAGAGCCTGGTTCCAACCGTGGCATCTTCGCGCGTGCAAACAGCAATGTCCTTGACTCGGGTAAAGCAAAGTCGTCAAGGATTAATCTATTGCTTGAGCAGATTGAACAGAGTCTGCGACCTGCTCCGTCTGCTGAAATGGCTCCGACCAATTCGTCCCCTCTGCGACAACGAATGGATGCCCGGCGATGTCGCTCGTCGTCCCCGACGGTGGATAGGAAGCATGCTGGAGTTTCTGGAGCAGCCGATTACCGCCTTCCACCCCATGTCCCGGGAGATGATTGTAATATTGATCAGAAGGCTGCCTTCCAAGACTCTTCGTCCGAGTTTGGGGATGATGACCTGGACCAGGAGTTCCTCGACTTGGCCGAAGCCTCCGCTGATCCATTCATAGCGCCGACGCCGGCGCCTGCATCTGTTCGTCAAGAATTCGACTCCTTCGGATCTTCAGGCTGGTCAGCTCTTGCAAATCAACAATCCCAGTCGTGGCGGCCGAAGGTGCCCGTTGTACCTGAGGAAAAAACTACTAGTGGCGAACCAAAACATGATGATTCAGACGACTTTGACGATGACGAATACGGGGACTTTCCAGACAACCTGCAGGATGTTCTTGCAGCATGCGATGCAAAGTCCAGCTCGATCCGATGCACGAAACCAACTACCAAAGAAAACCCATCTGTCAAGGGTTCCGGCTCGGTCACTGTTAGTGCAGGCGCTGACTTGTCAGGCGGAGTACCGCAGAAGACATTTGGGAAATCTGATCCGGATTCCTCAGGCGATGAGTTCGACGACGATGATTTTGATGTGGAGGCAATTGAACAAACCATGAAGCAGACGGGTGAAAATGGACAGGCCTATGTGTGTCACTCTTAGTGAGCTTACCTCTAGATATGTGCTAAGACAATTATACATAGAACATGAAAGGCCGACAGGCGATCAAACGTCATCAAATCGTTGACATTGTGGAGAACACGTATGTTACTACGAAAGGACGTACTCAACCAGAGCAGGTCTGCGCTCTCCCATATCCGCCCAGTGGTCATTTCAGCAGCTGACGTTGGGAGCAGGTACTACTCGTCGAGGACGAGAAAACCAAAGTCCGCAAGGTCATTGTGCTGCGCGAATCCTGGTTCGACACGCCCTGCAGTAAAGACTCGTACATTCACCTGATCGGTGACTTCGATGTAACGGGCCAGTGCATTGTGGACAACTCTCACAACATGGTCATCTTGCATCCTGATCACCTCATCTCCGCCACCGTTGTGGCAGACTCGATAGACTGCCAGCGCCGCGCTGTACTCCAAGACCGTGTCAAAGCCTTTGGTGCTCTCGAGAAACCACAGGCTTTCGGAATGTTTTTGCACGAAATCTTCCAAGAAGCCCTGAAAGCTAATCAATGGAATACGGAAGTCCTACGATCACTAGTTGAAACCGTTATGCAGAGGCATGTTGAGGACCTATACGCGATTCAGATGAGCATGCCTCAAGCTGTTGAGGAGATCATGGGCAAGATGCCCACTATCCAAGCATGGGCCGACGCCTTTGTTCAGACCAAGCCACAGGTACGTTCTCACCCACTGAATGATTCGATGTCTGCTGATCAGTGCCAATAGGCCAACTCGATGGTTGAGGACCGCAATAGCTCCAAGCTCAATCTGAGTATCACCAAATTGCTTGAAGTTGAGGAGCACATCTGGTCTCCGATGTATGGACTTAAGGGCAATATCGATGCCACAGTGCAGATTGCCTGTCATGAGAAGGACACAGAAAGGAACCTCGTTGTTCCGCTCGAGCTCAAAACAGGCAAGAGAGACACAAACCAGGCCCATAGAGCACAAACGGCCCTATACACCCTACTTCTTTCTGACCGTTATGGTGCGTTCCAATTCGTTTCCCGGAACGTAGGCTATCACTAACACTGGCTGCAGACGTCGAGGTCACATTTGGGATCTTGTACTATCTTGAAGTGTCCAGGACTCTCAGCATTCGTGGTATTCGACACGAGCTCCTTCAAATGATCCAGCAGCGAAATCGGCTTGCTGGTTATGTCCGTGAGCGCTTCCAGCTTCCACCCATGCTCAAGAAAGCTCGCATGTGCAAGAACTGCTATGCGAAGACACCGTGCCTCATCTATCACAAGCTGAGCGAGGACGGCAATGGTGAAACGAGCGCTCTAGGTGACGAGTTTGATGCCGCTGTCGGCCATCTCAACCAGCGGGATAGCGATTTCTTCCGCAAATGGGATGAGCTTCTAACCAAGGAGGAAGGCAACTTGGTCAAGGCCCGGCGAGAGCTGTGGACATTGTTGAGCAACGAGCGGGAATCTCTGGGTCGGTGCTTTGGAGATCTTGTGATTGATCCGAGGTCTGCATGCGAAGATAACAATGCCACCAAAATCAACCGCTACCGCTATACTTTCCTCAAACGACAGGCACCTCCCAACTTCACTTTTGCAGAATCCCAGATTTCTGTCGGTGAGCCAATCGTCGTGTCTGATGAGAAAGGTCATTTTGCGCTCGCAAATGGCTATGTGGTGCATTTGAGCCGGACCCATATCACTGTCGCTGTGGACAGGAAGTTGCACAATGCGAGAGCACGAGCAGCTGGCTTTGACCCCGTCATGAACCAGTCATTCAAGGGCATCATGGAAGTTGGCAGAGATCCTAATGATGCAGACTTGAAGGACTCTGAGGAACAGGTGATTTACCGAATCGATAAGGATGAGTTTAGCAACGGCATGGCCACTGTCCGCAACAATCTCATCTGTCTGATGGACAACAACCTGTTTCAGTCAAGACAACTGAGGCGGCTCATCATCGAGGGTCAGGCGCCTGTCTTCAAGAGCTCTTCCACGCAATACACCATCTCTGGACCCGACAGCCTAAACGTCGATCAGAAGCAGGCGATCGGAAAAGTTATGAGCGCCAAGGACTATGCCTTGGTTCTGGGGATGCCTGGGACCGGCAAGACAACCACCATCTCGCATATAATTCGTGCGCTAGTGGCCCAAGGAAAGAGTGTTCTCCTCACGTCTTATACGCACACCGCAGTAGACAACATCTTGCTAAAGATCCGAGACGACAACATCCGCATTCTGCGTCTCGGTGCTCCTGCTAAAATCCATCCGGACGTGCAACAGTTTGCTGATCTGGAAGCGATTCCGAAAACGACCATCGAAGAGCTCAAGGATTCATATGAGAAGCCGCAAGTGGTAGCCACTACCTGTCTGGGCGTTAACAAAAACATCTTTAATCAGCGCATCTTTGACTATTGCATCGTCGACGAAGCCTCGCAGATCACGCTTCCCGTCTGCGTGGGCCCGATCCGCATGGCAAGGACGTTCATTCTCGTCGGCGACCACTACCAACTACCGCCGCTTGTGCAGAACAAAGCAGCCCAGGAAGGAGGACTTGATGTCAGTCTTTTCAAGCTGCTCTCTGACGCGCAACCGGACTCCGTGGTCAACTTGGAACACCAATACCGTATGTGTGAGGAGGTTATGCTGCTCTCCAACACCCTGATCTACTCGGGTCGACTGAAATGTGGAACGCCCGAGGTTGCAGCGCGATCACTGGAGGTGCCGAATATCAAGGCCCTTAAGCAGTTCCATGCCGACGATTTTAATGCCTCTCAAAGACAAATCTGTCTGGGTACCGGGCAGGGAAGCTGCTGGCTCCGAGACCTGGTCGAGCCATCCGCCAAAACCAGACTCGTGAACACCGATCCGCTCGGCAGCGTAGCCCTCGAGACAGCGCAGGGCCAGCGCATGGTGAACCACGTGGAGACGATCCTCTGCGCGCAACTCGTCGAGGCGTTCCTCGCTTGCGGGATTCCCGCTCGCAACATCGGCGTCATCACCTTCTACCGCAGCCAGCTCTCTCTCCTCCGCCAGCGTCTCCGCCGCTACACGCCCGAGCTGGAGATGCACACAACCGACAAATTCCAAGGCCGGGACAAGGAGATCGTGATCCTGAGCTGCGTCCGCAGCAACTCCGATAACCATGTCGGCGAGCTCCTCCGCGACTGGCGCCGCGTCAACGTCGCATTCACCCGTGCGCGCACAAAGCTCCTCGTCATCGGCAGCAGATCCACCCTGCGCGATGGCAACGAGCTTCTGTGCAAATACGTCCGTCTGGTCGAAGGAAACGGCTGGGTCTATAATTTGCCCCCTGGCGCGGCGGACAACCACGTCTTCCAGTCTGCAGCAACCGATGCTACGCAGGGGCGAACTCCTGACTCTGCGAAGAGTAATAAGCACAGCCCCAGCTCGAAACTGAAGAAGTCTCCGGCCTCGCGGGATCCTCTGAGTCCGCTGGGTTCTCGACAGCCTGCTAGTAGCAACGGTCTTCGGAAGCCGGCGAAGAAAGGGGCCAAGTTTCTGAGTGGCAATACAGTTCTTGGGAACAAACCTATTCTTCAGGACATTGTGAATGATATTACGGGCTGAGTGTCTGTATATGGTTGCAATAGGTGGGGTGATACAAATGTAGTCAATAGCTTTCTATCATGAGTGGCTCCACTGCCTAATGAAGCATCTTTTTCGACTGAATTAGACACAGCAAATCTCTAGATTCAACTACAGAGATAGTGGCTTAGAACGATGATGATCTTCCCTTCTCTTCCGGACTCTGACACAATTGGTCGAACTAGCCTTGTTTATGATCGTATGTTCGGAGGTTCTACTATAAGAAGCTTAATAGTAAGGGAAGAAGGAAAAGCTATACAAAAGGCTTTTGGACATATGCAGTAGTGTACATTGTAATATATAGTATCCCACGAGATCCACTTGATCGAATGGAGTAATACAAGCCAAGGAATGGAGAGGTATCGGTCATCATCACTTCATCGCCGGTGATTCTTGCGCCAGGTATCAAAAGCTTCCTGCCACGTCGCAGAGGAGTCACTGCATCGCTCAGTCACCAAACCCCACGTTCTTGCTCGAATGATTTCCTCAACGGTGCGCTGGTTGCGCACCAGGTTCGCTAGAGACTCCGTCCTGGCCTCCCGAGGAAAGAAACGAGCTGAGTATGGATCCAGCCGTTCATCCACGACTCGCTCGCGGTCCTTGGCGGATTCAGTCTGTCGAAGGATCAAATCCGGATCGTCTGGATCGGGACTCGTGGCGACCCCAGCACAGTAGTTGAGAACGTCGGATCGGGTTTGCCATGAGGGGAATAGTACATTGTTTTTGAATGACTGGCATGCGGTGGGGTCTATTGCTTTCTGGGCCCGAGAGCCCGTTTGCCGTGAAGCGGTGGAGGACGGGTCAAAGCCTGCTCGGGCAGGAGTTACCAGGGCGTTTAGATTCTGCGTTATTGAATCATCTATGGTCGATCTGGAGAGACGAAGGAAATCTGAGTGGGAAAGAAAACGGCGTCAGTAAGTCACAAGAGAAGTATGTGGCTTGCTTTCTGACAAACCTCGAAGCATCCTCTCATCGAAACAGAATTGAGGAGTTAGTGCTGGAGCCTCCGTCGACGAGGCTTGTGCCATCTTGCCACTAGCTGCCTCCCCCGAGTCGCGACCTGGATTGAACTTGGTAGCCCAGAACCACTCCAGTTTGGATGGATAGGAAGAAGTAATGGCAGAAAGAAGGTCAAGGTGGAGAAGGTTTTCAAAACACTTCCGCTCAATACGTGGGCGGGATAACCAGATGTGTCGACAGATGTAGTCTAACTATCGACATCATCGCCGATAACGATGACCAATGTTGAATGATCACGTGACCGCGTGTCGCGTCTGACTGTTCTCGTGTCGAGCTCTTTCTCTCCTTGTTCGAAGCATCAACCCCCTTGACTCCAACAACAATGCCAGAGCTAGCAGAGGTCGCACGAATTGTACATTTTATCCGCCAACACTTGGTCGGGAAGACCTTGTCCAAGGTCCAGGCGCAACATGATGATATCGTGTTTGGGAAAGTGGGAACCAGCGCGGCCGAGTTCCAGAAAGCTATGCAGGGAAAGAAGATTGTAGGTGCCGGACAACAAGGCAAATATTTCTGGATCACCATGTCTTCGCCACCGCATGTGGTGATGCACTTTGGGATGGCCGGCTGGCTAAAGATCAAGGATGCCGACACATACTACTACCGAACCGACAAGCCCGCAGATAAGGAATGGCCGCCGAAATATTGGAAATTTTTGATGGAGACCAGCGACGAGCTCAAGACGGAGGCGGCGTTTGTGGACTTCCGTCGTCTCAGCCGGATCAGGCTGGTTGATTGTCCCGCCGATGATATTCGCAACCACACACCCCTCAAAGAGAACGGGCCAGATCCAGTCGCTGATAAGGATATCGTGACGGCAGAGTGGTTGATGAACAAACTGCGGAGCAAGAAAGTGCCCATCAAAGCACTTTTGCTCGACCAGGCCAATATTAGCGGAATTGGGAATTGGATGGGGTAAGTAAACAACCTCTCAAGTTCGAAATTCAGGTGTTGACGATAATCCTAGGGATGAGATTCTTTACCACGCCAAGATACACCCTGAACAATACAGTAACACCTTGTCGGACGAGCAGATCAAGGAACTGCATACCTCGATACATTATGTCTGCTCTGTCTCCCTCGACGTACTGGCTGATTCAGAGAAATTTCCTGAGCACTGGCTATTTAAACATCGGTGGGGCAAGGGAAAGAAGAATCAACCCGCAGTTCTTCCCAATGGCGACAAGATCACATTTCTTACCGTTGGCGGCCGGACCAGTGCAGTTGTACCGTCCGTCCAGAAAAAGACCGGGGCTGTGGCCAAGGATTTCGATGAGAGCACCAATGGCACGCCGGCAAACTCGAAACGCAAAAGAGCAGCGGTGAAGAAGGAGAGCGATTCAGAATCTGAAGAAGTGGCCAAGCCGAAATCTTCGAAATCACAGAACAAGAAGAAGAAAACGGCTGTCAAGAGTGAAGACTCGGACGAGGATAAGAAGCCAAATAGCGCGAGTCTTGGTAGACGACGCTCTACACGGACAAGGACATAGGGGCCATTACATCATATACTGTCCTTAGGAGTCTATCGAAATCATTGTCCCAATGCCAAGTGCAACTGAACCAGAGAAATGCCATACAAAACACGAACAATGCGCATTGCAAAAACGAAGTAAATAAAGCAAATGTAGAATCAATACTGATCAGACCTGAAGATTACCCAATATACTCCTGAATATTTGCAACGTCAAATCCGCACCATCGACAGATTCCGCCTTTTTCTCCAATATAGCGAACACGATTACCTCCCACCATCCCTTGAACTCACTCTCTTTCAAGACCTCAGCCCAGCAGTGCGCCACGTCATGCTTGGGATTCCTGAAGACACCGCATCCAAATGCCCCGAGGACCAGCGTGCGATGGCCACTATGCCCTGCCACCCGCAGGATCAGGCGCATTTTGTCTTTCATCACGTCTCGGTCAAGGGTGTTCAGGTACTTTTCCTGGCCGTCATCAGCCACCGTTATCGCCGGTCCGTCAGTCGCGGCCATGCTGATAACGCTGACAACCGGGAGCAGCTCCGGAGACTCGTGCCACATCAAGCTGTGATTCTTGGCATAGTTCTCGCGGAAGATGACGACGTTTGCCGAGTACACCGCTGCCAGCTCCCCGAGGGGATAGAAACAATCCTTGAGGGTGGCACTGAGGGTACTTCGATAGCACAGCTCTTCTTCTTGGGCCATCGCCCCTTTCAGCCACCCGCCGCCGATATCTTTAGCGTTTGCAAAGTTGAGAACGCAGATCTTCTGCGTATCCTGACACCCCATCAGCTCTCGGGCATTCTCGAGGGTGACTGCCGTGTCGAAGGTGTCGCCCCGCACAACTTTGACAGTGGTCGGGTTTAGATTGGGGAAATATTTGGCCGTATATTCCAGCGGCTCCATATTTTGAAAGGTGGCTTTGTATCCGTTTGGAGGCGTGATGAGGTGTAGGGCCTTTGAGATCCGCCAGACCAAGTCGCGGGGCTTTTTGGCCGTGTCGCGTCGCTTTTTTTTTGATTTCACTGTCTGTACAACTCGGGTGAGGCTTTGGTACTCGTTTATTTTGAAATTGTTTACTTTCTAGTTGATCGTCTTTTGAGTGATTTCTGGTTCTAGGAGTCATGTTGCAGCTTGGATGTTTTCAGTCTGGAGTCTCAAAGAGAAATAAGACTGCGATGGGAGAAAACGGTGGCTCATGAATAGAGACATCTCTAGACTTATTTATACCTAAATTCTCTGTAATACTTCGCTATCTTTCTTTGTCTTTCGACTATTTCGTTCTGTCTGTGAGTTACTTGCTCCATAGTTCACCGACAGCCAATGAGCGCGCAGATGATAAGCGGCCCGGCAGAACAAAGGCGGTGGGCTTATCGTCCCCGATATCGCCACCCAGGATGACAAACTCGCTTTCGTTCTTTCTTTCTTGATATCAGTCATCTTCTTTCGTCCCTGTTTCATCTTCTTTTGATTCTTGGAAGACAAAGAATTACCAACCTCGCTCTCTCTTTCTGTAATCGTTTAGCGGGATCTGTGCCCAGAGCGGCATCACGCCACAATGAGCGCGATCCTGTCTGCGGACGACTTGAACGATTTCATTTCGCCGGGGGTTGCCTGCATTAAGCCAGTTGAAACACTCCCACCAAAAGACACAAAGACCCAGGAGGTTTGTTACTATTCTCAGTTTGGTCGAGAGCAAGTGCTGATGCTATTCATAGAATGTCTACGAAGTCACCACCGAAGACAAAGTGCAGCCGGAGACCCTCCCACCCGCCCAGATCTCTTTGACCGACTGCTTGGCTTGTTCGGGCTGTGTCACCTCTGCCGAGGCGGTTCTCATCTCCCTTCAGTCTCACACGGAGGTCCTCAACACTCTCGACTCTTTCCCGGAACTACCTGTGACGCATGGCGCGACGATTGCCAATACCGAGGCAGCAGATGAAAGCAGGATATTCGTGGCCAGTGTCAGCCCTCAAGTCCGAGCCGGTCTCGCAGCTACGTATGGTATCTCGGAGAAGAAAGCGGGGTACATGATCGACCAGTTCCTAAGGGGCCCGCGAGGTCTTCGGGCCGGTGGAAAGTATGGCAGCGGCTTCACTTGGGTGGTGGACACAAATATCATGCGGGAGGCCGTGCTGGTTCTCACAGCAGACGAGGTGTCGGAGTCTCTCAGCTCCGAAGATCCAGACAGCCCGCTTCCCCAACGACCAATCTTGTCTTCGGCTTGCCCAGGGTGGATCTGCTATGCCGAGAAGACGCATCCATTTATCCTGCCGCATCTGTCTCGGCTGAAATCTCCCCAAGCACTGTCTGGGACATTTTTGAAGACCGTTTTGAGTAAGGCTCTTGGGGTGCCACCGTCGCAGATATGGCACCTGGCGCTCATGCCCTGTTTCGACAAGAAGTTGGAGGCTAGTCGCGAGGAACTCACCGATATGTCATGGCAAAATGGAGCAGAAGAGCAACACCAACCCGTCCGCGATGTCGACTGTGTCATTACCACGCGCGAGCTTCTCTCGCTGGCCTCGTCTCGGGGCCTTTCACTTCCGAACCTGCCATTGCAGCCTCTACCCTCGACTTCCACCCCATCATTCCCCGAGAAAACCCTTGATTTGTTTCTTTCCTCCACAAGCTCTCCAGCAGAACAGACCCTTGAAACCGGCACATCAGGAGGCTACCTCCACCACGTGCTGAAGACCTTCCAAGCCCGGAATCCTGACAGCGAGCTCGTCACCAACCGCGGGCGCAACGCCGATGTTGTCGAGTACGTCCTAAACTCCAAAGACGGCCAGCCCATCATGAAAGCAGCCCGCTACTACGGCTTCCGCAACATCCAGAACCTGGTCCGGAAACTCAAGCCTGCTCGGGCATCGAGACTCCCCGGCGCTGCACGACGACAGCAAATGTCGCGCAACGCCACGGCTAGTGGTGGGTCGGATTACGCCTATGTGGAAGTCATGGCTTGCCCCGGCGGCTGCACGAACGGCGGTGGCCAGATCCGCGTGGAAGATGCCAGAGAAGCGACTGGGGCGATGGACACAACGGACTCTGTTGCGGCATCCAAACCATCCCCTCATGAACAGCGTGCGTGGCTGGCTCGCGTCGATGAAGCGTACTACTCCATGGAATCGGACTCGGAGAATGAAGGACCTCCTCAACCTGTCTCTGCAGCAGACAAGGAAGCTCAGATCCATGAGGGTCTAAGCCAGTGGTCACGATTCATGGATATCCCGCTCGAGAAGCTTGTCTACACTACATACCGCAAGGTGGAAAGCGACGTCGGCAAGGATAAGAACGCAAACGATACTACTCGGGTCGCGGAGCTGGCTGGAAAGATTGGTGGCGGTTGGTAATTGCCTGCCGCCTTGTACATTTCGGGGATTTCTGGGAGAGATTTTGCCCTTCTTGTTGGTTTATTCATTTGCATGGCGCTGGGACGCTGTTTTTTGTTTATGATTGCATAGCTTCCTAGAGATACCAGATTTAGATGACAGGCCCATACTATAACTCACGGTTTCTTGAAATATGACAGATTCAATTCAGATCAATAACCTTCTTATCGTAGGCGTAGTCGTGTTTTCTGTAGCTACTGCATGATTTTTCGAAGATAGACAACAGTATCTTCACTAAAAATCCCATCCTTGACCAGTTGCTCCGCAGACTCGACGATCCATGACTGACAGTCTCGTTGTCTGATTTGCCTGCCGATGCGTTTTGGATCCTAGAGGTAGTCCTTTCAGCTACTAATGATAATGACCCTTGAGACTCTATGGAATTGTGCTGATAAATCAATAGCAAATATAGAAATGCCATCTTACCATATTCTCAACGGCATTCAAACTCTTCTCGGGGACATCAACCTTGCACACACTCTCCTCCAAAGGACACACAGGCAGAGTATCGGATTTGAGAGATCCATTGTTAAACATTGCCTTCTCGTCATCAAAGAACTGCTGATCAACCCACTGCAGCGGAATCAGCTTCGTCGGAATATCCGAATCCGTGTCGTGGATATCATAGTTGCGCCTGATGTCGAACTTGAAGCCGCTGCGGACATTGCCGTCGGCGTGGACCATTATCCCGATCTTGGGGTTATGGTGTGAGCGCACCCAGTAGGCCCAGTGGTCTTTAAACGGGTGGCCATTGAATACCATTAGCTCTACCATGTAGGCACCGGCGGGACTGTCTGGGGATACTCTTGGGGGTTGGATCGTTGGGGGAAGCGGTGTTTTGGTGACAGGTGGTGGTGGAGGCGGAGGGGGTTTATGGGCACTCTGGTTAGTGTCAGGCATGATTATTGTATTGTATTCATAAAGAGCGAAGAAGAGGAAGAAGGACGAGTAAGAAGCGGTGACTAAGGTTCCCAAATAGGCAAGCACTTTGAACCCAGCTGACTCATTGGACTGACTGACTAAGCACATTTCTCCAGCTGCTGGAAAGAAAAAGAACTCGCCGCAACCATCTCACTCTCCTCTCACCACACTCACTCCCCGGCTCACCTCCGTCCACTATCTCCTCCTCGCCGACAAACCACCGCTTCCTCAACATGTCTCGCGAAGCCTACCAAGTCCCCTCGATGGGCGCCCAAGGAAACACCTTCGGCACAGAGACCGGCGGCTTCGGAGGCGGCATGGCGGTCGACACTCCCTCCGTGGTCTATCTCTGCGGCGAATGCTCTGCGCGCGTGCCGCTGAAGCGAGGCGACCAGATCCGATGCAAGGATTGTGGACATCGTGTGCTGTACAAGGAGCGGACGAAGCGGTGAGTCTTTCCTTTTGAGGTTTTGTGATGAACATGGACTAACTTTTTCTTCCTGGTAGAATGGTTCAGTTTGAGGCTCGGTGAAAGGATTTCTGATCTTTTATGTGAGAGAGAGAGGAGGCCAGTCTAGAAAGAGGGAAACTTCGCCTCTTTTCTGGCTTGCTTTCTTAACGAATGATGCATTTATGGCGCTTGGGAGTCGAGATATGTATGGCATGGATGGAATAAAAGGCTAGCTAACTCGGCACGATGGTTATATCGTGGTCCGTGTCCTCATATTCTTGCTGGAAATACCTGTTCATGTCTATTTGCAATATAACCAATCCACTTTACTTTTCAAAACTCCTTCGTCCCACACGTGTAGCCAGAATATGTCCAGTTGGAAAGATCCGCGGAAGAGATCAGATATACAAGAAGGCAAAAAAGAAGAGAAAACATATCCAAGAAGAAGATTTCCAAATGCCTCGTGAATCAAATCCGGGCATCAATAAAAAGTCTATATATCCGAAGAGAAACAAACATCTTTCATCGGTCAAAGTCGGTTGGTGACTTCGATGAACTGCTCCAGGCACTTCAGAGAGGCACCGCTCTCGATGGCCCAGCGTGCCCGTCGCACACCTTCTTTCCAGCGACCGCCGCCAGGCCCACGCTCCGTGATGACCTTGCCGTCATCCCCGGGGCCCATGTTGCTGGTCTCTGCCTCACAAATGCCAGAGGTGACCAGCAGAGCCGCCACGTTCATGAGCACGAACTCCAAGATCGGATCTTCGCGCGGCAGCTCGTTGCGGAGAATGGCCATTAGCTTCGCGGCGTTCTCCTTGGGCATCTTCCGCCCGTACACAGACGTGAGAGGATGGACGGGCAGACCAAAGTCCGACGGATGCAGCTGGAAAGTCTCAAGCTTGACCAGCGTGCGAGGTGTCTCTTCCTCGTCACTTGAGCAGTCTTGCTCGCCAGCCGACGACTTGTCGTATGCCGGGTTGGGGTACTCAGAGAGTCTCCAGCAATTTGTCTTGCCCGCGCAGCTGATCTCATCCATGTCCTCTTCACCGCAGACCACCAGCGCTTTCTTGGATCCACTTTGCCTCAGAGCCTCGATGAAGACTGGCCCCAGGGCCTGGTACGCCACACCAACAACGCGCGCTTCCAGTGCCCAATCGACTGGGTTTGCGAGCGGGCCCATGAGGTTGAAAATGGTTCGAAGTCCGAGGGAGCGGCGCACGGGGTCGGCGTACATCATTCCCGGGTGGAAATTGGGCGCAAACAAGAACGCATAGTTTGTCTCCTCGTACACTTTCACCAGGCTCTCGGCATTGACAGCCGCAAGCTTGGGAGGCACGGGCTGAATTGCATTGAGGACATCGGCAGACCCTGAGAATGAAGTCTGGGCGCGATTGCCGTGTTTGGCGGTCATCAGGAGCGGGGAGGCAACGATCGAGGCCGTCGTAGAGATGTTGAAGGTCGAATGTGAGTCTCCGCCGGTGCCGACGATATCGCACTGAAAAGAGAGGTCAATTTACTGGGACATCTTCATCACTGTATTGACGTACCAATCCGCCATTGTAGTTGCCCTCTTGTTTGCCACGAGCCTTGACCACCTTCTTCAATGAGTCCTTCTGCACCTGGCATGCAGCCTCTCGCATCCGATGCGAGCATTTCGCAATGACATCGGCCTCCTTGTCCTTGCGCGTGGAGTGCAATAGAGTCAATAGCGCGGCGGTCTGAATCATCGACAGGCGGTCCTCGAAGATCAAAGCGAATGCAGAGGCAATATCGTCAGCGCTGACTCGGATCTCCGCTGTGCCCGGGTAAGCCAGACGCTGGAGCAGGGGGGAAATCGAGACCGGCTCGGGCTTTTGTGACTGGGGAGACAACATGATGGCAAGAATAACTGGCGCGCGCCCGAACTGTTGTACAGCACAGAACAACCATGAGTCAAAGAAAGCCCACCTTGCCAGTGCGGGACAGACCCGGTGGCAGAATTCCTTCACCGCCCGATTCTCCTCCCTGCGGCCAAAAATATCGAGAATCCACTTCGTTCCCTTTTCCTCTGGCGCGCCGTGTACTTTCCCATCTCACCCCGTCCCCCCACAATGCCTCCCCGGTTACGCATCTCGCCGTCGCTGCGTCGACAGGCTCTTCAATGCCAGCACAATAAGCTCCAGCTCGCCCGGTGCGCCAGCAGTGCCGCGGCCACCACACCGGTCACCCCGGCCGCGCCCATTGAACAAATGACCCATTCGCCAGCCCCAATCTCCCGATTCCCTCCTACCCAGCCGCCCTCGCATCGCAACCCAGAGTACCGCCGGTCACAGCTCCTCCGGCAATACACATCATTGCTGCGCACCTCCCCTCTCATGGTGCTGTTCCAGCACAACAACCTCAAGTCCATGGAATGGGCATCTATCCGCCGCGAACTCACCATTGCCCTACAGAAAGTGGACGAGAAGATCGCATCGGAGGGCCGGACCTCGGCGCCCCTGGCACCACACATCAAGCTGCAAACCGTGCAGACCAGCATCTTCGAAGTGGCCCTGCGCATTGTGGAGTATTTCCGGCCGAGCGCAGCCTCTCTGGGAATGGGACAGCCTCCTAGCGCTGTTAACCCGGCGACCCAAACATCCGCCGAAATCCCTGCCCTCTCTGGCTCGAAAGATGACCCAGCCCTGACGCACGACCTGTCTCGCACCGCCCATGCCGCGATCAAGCACATGAAGGGCAAACACGAACTGTCGACCATTCTTGTTGGTCCTATCGCTGTTCTTTCGATCCCCACCGTCTCGCCGGAACACATGAAAGCGGCATTGTCGATCCTCGTGCCCAAGGACTCGGGGTTCCCTGCTCCCACCAGAAAGGCAAACCCGGCCTACCACGAACCCATCGTGCAGAACGGTCTTCAGAAGCTCAACTTGTTGGCTGCGCGCGTGGATGGCAAGGTCTTTGATCTCGATGAGACGAAGTGGATCGGTAGCATTGAGGGCGGCATGGATGGTCTCCGCTCACAGCTGATCATGGCCTTGCAGAGCATGGGATCCAGCGTTACAAGTACGTTGGAAGGTGCTGGAAAGAGTCTCTACGTTACCATGGAGAGCCGGAGGAGCGTGCTTGAGGACGAGCAGAAGGGTCCAGAGGAAGGCGAGAAGAAGAGTGATTGAAGCCTGTACGGTTCATCTTTGTATAATATCTGTTTCTCTTATTTGCATCTGGTGCCAAGAAATGTCTATACCAAAAGAACCCATTTGAGATCACCGACTATATCCTAAATATCTTCCAATTCCAGGCAATCGTCCCATGGGTATATCTCTACTGGTGGTGCTGCTGCTTGCCCTGCTGCTGCTGTCTCAACCGCAGCTTAGCATTCATACCAACGATGGCGCGCACAAGATCCCAGTCTCCGTCCAGGCCGCACCAATCCGTAACCAGAATGCCCGTCGAGCAATCACGGTCCTTCTCGTCGTGGCGACTGCAAATGTAATTCGTGATGGCCGGGTTGAGCTTCGCAGCAATCTTCTCCGGCCAAGTATCGGTCTTCCAGAAGTTGCTCGCGCTGAGGAAGTTGACATAGAAGGGGTGCGCCTTGGTCGCGCCAGGGCCCTGCAGGACACCGAAGGGGTAGCAGCAGGCGCTGGCTCGGTCGATCTGCGCATTGACGAACTTGATCTTCTTGTCAATGTTCTGGGTGTCAGACACCTCGTAGAAGTCCTGGATGCAGAGCTGGCCGCTGGGAGTCATGGCGTGGGGGGTGTTGTCGGCCCAGCCGCCAGCATCAATACCCCATCCGTGGCCATCGTTCTCGCTCTTCAGCTTGTCCTGCAGACCAAAGCGACGAATCAACACGATCTTGCCGCGGGCCTCGCCCAGGGTCGGGATCTTGGGATTCGTGTACCACCGGCTATCCGGGCGGGCGTAGTGGTCGTGCAGGATGCGGCACAGCTGCTGGTCGGTAGCCTTGCCCTGGCCCTCACGCTTGACGGAGATGAGCAGCGTCTCGGACGGGTTGCGCTCCAAGAACCCGTTGACTTCCTTCATCAGGTCGCGGAAGTACTTGTTGCCCGTCAGCGAGATGGGAAACACGCTGTGCACGAGGATCAGGCCGTCCTTGGATGGGTCCTCGGGGGCCTCGGGCTGCACGCGGATGTCAAAGAAGCGCACGCCGTTCTCTAGCTGCTCGCGCGGGCTGACGGCCTGGCAGCGCACCGAGGGCGGCGCCGTGTGGCAGGTGGGCGAGTTGTGGGTGCCGGGGATGGAGAGGGCCGACAGAAGGGTATCGTCGCGCAGCTCGTGCATCCATGCGTTCATGTTGGCTGAGGAGAAGACCGCCAGCAGGGAGGCGGGCTTCGCGTACACGCCCGTGAAGCGGTGCTTGGGGTTCTCGGCCATGGCCTTCATGGTGGCCGACTCCTTGGTCGGCACGGGCGTCTGGATCTGGTACTTCTGGCCATCGGCCTCGAAGGTCAGACGCATGCGCTCCTTGTCGGAGTCGATGAAGGCGCGCAGCTCGGTCTTCTTGGTGCTAAAGGGCTCGATGTGCACGTCGACCTCCTTCTCCGCGAAGGGCTTGGCGTCGCCTGGGATGGCGGTGGCCGTGGGATTGCTGGTGGTGTTGGTCACCAGGCGGGTGAAGTTTTTGGCCAGCGAGGAGATCTCATCGCTGTTTTGCTGCGGAGCCTTGAAGCGCTGGACGCGCTTCAGGGTGATCGGGGTGTTGGAGTTGTTGCGAATGGAGAGGGTCTCAGCTACCATGGTGAGGACGGGGGTGGTTCCGGGGTTCAGTCAGGTCAATGGTCAATTCAATTCACTTGGAAAGAGGAAATAGGTACACGGAAGGAGGAGCTCAGCTGTGGATTCTCTCGTTCTCCTTTACCCCTCCGTGATCCGATCTGCAGGCCGATCTCCACACATCGGGTTCTTGGCTAGCATCATAGATCTACATCTGAGCCCTAACTCCGGGATGTACATCGGATACATCCAGTACATTTCGAACACAGCGAGTATTCCGTCTACTCCAGCCACGCCTCCAATGCCTTCTCCAGCGCCTCACTCAGCCACTTCTCCTGCACTGACGCATTCACATCGAACCCATGCCCACCTGGGCGCATACACAAAACCACCTTATCCCCGCCGGGACGCCCCTTCAAAGCCACTTTAGCCCTGGCCGCAAATCGCTCACTCACCGCAGGCATGACATCATCGTCATCTCTGCCGTGAAGAATTACCAGACCACCTCGCGGCAATCGTGCATCGGGCTGATCAAGCCGTGGGAGCTGGAAAAGCCGATCCCGATGCGGTGATGATTCCGAGTCACGGATGTAGAACCCACGAGCTCGTCGATGCTGGGACAGTGCAGATGACAGATCCACCCGTTTACACTCCAGATCAGAGGACTCGCAGGCTCCCGGCTGGAGAGTCGCGATATATTCGTCAATGAATGACTCCGGCACTTCGCGATCCATGGCACTCCGTGTTGGAGGGTAGATGGTCGGCTCGTCATGGGCGAGCTGGGGATACTGCGCTGTGCCAGCGCGGAGCTGATCGGGGTAGGTGAGGGTGAGGTAGATGCTGAGCAGGCCGCCTGCCGAGTCACCCGCTGCAATGACCCGCTCGAGGTCGAGCTCAATGGGAGTTAACTGAGAGGCCAATTCCTCCTTCAGACTGTTCGAATGTAGCCATGACCAGAAGTCGTCGACATCCTCTAAGATTTGAAGACCCGTCGCCTCGGGGAGGAACCGGTAGTTGGCCGATGCGATGATGGCGCCGTGTGTCTGCGCGAGCTCTAGTAGCCACAATGGGAACCAGTCGGCGTAGAGGGAATCGCCTCGAGACTGGTAATTACTTTTTAGCTTTGTATGCCTCTCTTATCGACTCAGCACTCACCAAGCCTCCGCCGTGGAAGCGGGCAATCACCGGGCGTGGTCCATTGGCCGGTAACATTGCGGGGATGATCAGGTCGGCGCGAATATTGTGACCATCTACTTGTTTGTAGGAGGCCTGGAAGATATTGAAGCTGGCGAACTTGTCGCCGAAGCTTAAGCCTGGCTTGAGTGACATTTTGCGAGGATCTCTTCTGGTTCAACAATAGTTGGTCTATAAATTAGCCCCCGTTGAGAGATGGGGAGATCCGCAATTATTATAGCTCGTACTGTGTCTGGAATGGTTCGTGGTTCGTATGCAAATTGACTGGTTTGGCAAATTGGCAAACCACATATCCTCGTTTCGATTGGTCGTTTGTTGCATCATAAGCACTAAGAGACCGATTTGACTTGTTTAGCAATTTGACAAACAGAAGTTCTGGACCTTCCATTGGTGGTCCTATGTAGTATTCAGAGTTTGTTTCTTTTGCTACAATGAGTCAGGGTTCGTTGATACTGTGCCAATTCTAATTAATGCCTCTTTGATACTTGTCGCCTATTAGCAGGGGCCCATAGACAACCTTAGTTACGAGGTGTATTTGCGCGCATGTTAGTTCGGACGGCGTGATTCGTCGTATTCACCAAAAAAAAAAAAAAAAAAAAAAAAAAAAGGCCATATAAGAGAGAGAGAGGATTTGGTACTAATTACGTGGGAGTGGATTATGGCGAAATAATAAACATAAAAAAAAATCCGGTTGGGCGGAGTCGAACCGCCGACTTTCAGATACCATGTTTCAATTACAGTCTGACGCTCTAAACCAACTGAACTACAACCGGTTTCCTTGACGACAATCGAGACTCGATTGAAATGAGAATAGACTGTCAGACAGACAGATCAATTTTTTTCATGTCAATTATGTACTGCTGGTGCTGAGAACCTCAAATACCACTCGGCATCAGCAACTTCAATAACCTAGCCGGCATATGTGAGAGCTTCAAGCACTCGATTCCTATTACACATGGGAAAGAAGAGAAATGGTTTTTTTTTTTTTTTTTTTTTTTTTTGGGAAATTTCCAGTACTTAACAAGTCAGTCTGCTCGCTCTTGAGTAAGGACTTGGATGGTGGTCAGTATATATAAAGAAGAGGGATGCGCCACGTGGTGAATGTATTAACAACGGTGGGTATGCATATTATGATTTAAATCATAATCATAGAATGGGATGAGATCTTTGAAAGCAATTGACACAGACGACTAGTGAGTCTAGAAATATATATCCAAGTCACCAAATACTGGGTAGCACTTGTTTTTATGGCCAACGACACTCCGGCATCCATTACAGACAGACATACGAAAAAAAAGAAAACCCCAATTCTCTCTTGCATTAACATCTAGTTAAACAGAAAAAAAAAAATTTAACAAAAAAAATTCCGGTTGGGCGGAGTTGAACCGCCGACTTTCAGATATTATGTTTCCATTACAGTCTGACGCTCTAAACCAACTGAACTACAACCGGTTGTTGTTGCATTCTTCACCGCCATGAACTACTATCTCCCGGCCTGCCCGCCCTGACCTTACCCCGGCGCCAGGCGTCACTCCAAGCTAGCTACATGCCACTCATCAACCCACCCTCGGGCTCGCACCATGGCGTCCCTCTTCTTCTCCACCCCGGTCGATATCGACGTTGTTCTTGAAGATCTCGATGAGCGCCAATCCGTCGATGTCAAGCTCGACAAGGACCGCCGCGAGCGCGTCCCGCTGTACATGGACGGCGAGTCCGTTAAGGGCATTGTGACCATCAGACCCAAGGATGGCAAACGATTGGAGCACACTGGCATCAAGGTGCAGTTCATCGGCACGATCGGTATCTCCCATCATCACCTGCAAGTATATTCTGGGAAACTAATTGATCTAATTCCTGCAGAGATGTTCTACGACCGCGGCAACCACTACGAATTCCTCTCGCTCGTCCAAGAGCTCGCTGCGCCCGGCGAACTCCTCCACCCGCAAAACTTCCCCTTCAACTTCAAGAACGTCGAGAAGCAGTACGAGTCCTACAATGGCATCAATGTCAAGCTGCGCTACTTCGTGCGGGTGACCGTGTCCCGGCGCATGCAGGACGTCATCCGCGAGAAGGACCTGTGGGTGTATTCGTATCGCATGCCGCCCGAGACCAACAGTCCGATCAAGATGGATGTCGGCATCGAGGATTGTCTGCACATTGAGTTTGAATACTCCAAGTCCAAGTACCATCTCAAGGACGTCATCGTCGGCCGCATCTATTTCCTGCTCGTACGTCTGAAGAT